AGATAGAATTCATGATATCACTGAGCTAAAAGAGCATATTGTCACAGTAGTGTCCATTATCGACAGATCCGTATTGCAAAAGTCATGGCAAGAAATGGATATTTGTATTGATGTATGCCATGTATGATGCACATATTGAACATCTGTAATAGTTTAAAAACAGTTCCTGCCACATGTTGTTGAGTGAGCTCAATACTTCTCTTGCAGTGACTTTTTGTAACTCCAAAAAGCATTCTGAAATGCAATGTATCTTGCATACCAGAAAGGTTAATTAATGATAAATAATTTTCTGTTCATTAAAAATGAAGATTATTTTAGTATAGTTTCAGTTTTGTCTTTTTCTAAATACTGTAATAGGAAAAAAAACAAAACAATATATTATAATAAAAAATTCTAGTCATAATGCATTATTATACAAAAAGACATGATACAATAAAATAATGGAAATTTATTAAACTTAGCAGCATCATTGAAATAAATATACTATTAAAATGTTGATTCTTGTACCAACAGGCATTTATTAATTAGGGAAGATTTTCAGCTCCATATTGAACCAGCTTAAGTTTATCCATAATAATGGAAATGGAACAAAATTTAAGATCACTTTAAAATGAAACCAAAAATGTTTTCTAATTGAAAATTAGTTAACAGAATCAAGCAATTTAATGAGAATTTATAATAAAACAATGTAAATATAAATAAAGTGTCAGTATTTTGTTCCACAATAAAAATATATATCCAGCCTTCCTTTTTTTTTTACAAATATTTAAAATAATCAATAGAACACTCATACAAATAGTAAAAGAATACTTTTTTTAAAAATAAATAAATAAGTAAAAGAATACATTTGAAGTTTGCAAAATAGTTGCCATATTTTGTTATTAGTAATGCATTGCAACAATGACAATGAGCAAATAGTTATTGTGACATCATCACAATGCCAGGCTGCAATTTTTAATCATTTAAAATGTATGCTCTTTACCTCAAATTAGTGGCATCTTTCCGCTGTACTGTACATCATATTTTTCCTTTAGCAATTGAGTCGTGCTGGTCATCTAATACCTTTCAGTGGAAAATTTTTGAATTGACTTGAATTGAAATAACGTGATTTCCATGGTTTTCAACAGAAGTTCGCATATAGTTAATCGGGACTGTCTGCCCTTAGGCTTTCCTTATCTGGTCTTGGCTTTCATCTATCTAACTCCATTCTCATGATTAAGGAAGAACAAACACACAGACGAATGATAGTAGGAATTTATAGGTCAATAATTTTTTCAAATTGCAGCTTAACTAGAATATCTCTATTTGAATATTAGTGTTACTGCTTTTGATATTTCATTTTATATCATAGCCATTAACTTAACTAAATTAGAAATTAAATGAAAGATTGTTAACTTTAAAAGTTTTAAGCTAAAAAACAAAACAGCACATAGTTCTAATTTATTTAATGCAAGGATTTCATAAATATGGTTACAATATGCAAAGATAAAATGCTCAGAAAACAATAACCATTGCTTGAAACAGTGAATATAAGAAACTAGTTTAAGATTAAATATTTTAATTACATAAATAAAAAATTGTGTTTGCTGTTAAATTTCTCTTATTGTTTTCTTCCATCATGCAGTAAATTTTTATACAAACTGTTCCTGGTGCTGTACAAATGTAATTCTATTTATGTGAGCTAAATTTCTTTTTAATAAATACTCCTGAATATTAGCTGCCGCTGTAATTCAAATTCTATGTAGTTCTGATTGGTAATTTAAAGAATAAAACTTGATTTATGCTATTTTTCATTATTGCAAGAAATATAAAGGAATCATCTATAACAATATTAATAAAGGGATAAAATTTCTTGCATTTTATTCCTGATGCATCATTATGTGCATTATACTGTGTTAACAGCTGTTACAGTGTGCATTTTTAATTCAGAAGAAAAATTATATATATTCAAAATGATTTATATATAATAGAAAACAATCAGATAAATATATACATATAAAGTATTTAAGTAACTTTTTGCTATGTGTTTGTTATCTTAGCATTAATACACATATATTATAAATTATTATTTCATATGAATCATGCAATGGAAATAATAAATAAATAATCACAATGCAATAAAAAATTTAAAACAAATAAAATTTCAAAATTAAATTTAATGAACACATTAATTATAAATTACTATAAAAAGCTACACTGTAATGCACATACAGGACAAAAATATTTTATAGAGTAAGATGTTTAACAAATTTGTCACAAAGGCATTTCTAATATATATTAGAAATTCTGACTTGTCATTTGTTAAAGTATATGAAAATAGTCATCCTGTGTTAAAGAATCTCCAAAATTTACATAATCATGCAGATAATGCATATAAATGTATTTTATTAATTTGTTTATATTTTGAAAAATTGTAAAAAACTTATGAACTTAATAAATTTAAACTGACATATAAACTTTCAGTGTTTTGTGTATGTTTTAAAAATATAATTTTAAGTTATAGTTTTACTGTCAGAGAAAAATATAATTTTTTATAATACTTCAAAAAATAGAATAGTTTATTTCACAAACATTGCTAAAATAATCAAAAATTAAATGCTGTAATGAATTAGATAAAATTTCTTCTCAATCTATTACACCATCATGTTTTCATGGTAGACTTTTGATTTTAGTTGGGAGGGGTAAACCACATCATGATAAGTATTAAGTCATTGCAATATTATGAGAAATATTCTGAAAGATAAAATTATGTTGAAAGTATTTTGTAGAAAAAATATTTAAATATAAAATTGAAAAAATAATATAAATTTGAACTTCAATATAAAAACTACTCACAGATGAAACTAGAAAAATCATTATGCAGAAAAATGATTTTCCTACATTACTTGATTTCAAATATATACATATACTTTTGATGTCATTTGTTGAATATAGCAAATAAGATTTCTTTCCTTTAAATCTTTCTTCTTTTAAATATTACAACAATGATAAATTGTTAAGAAGATAAAGAAAATACAATCAACATTCTCTCATTTTGAATCCAAGATTTTGGTAAATAAAACCTGTAAAATAAAATAAAAATATAAATTACTTAAATATACTTATAAATTCTGTACATTTATGAGTTTAAATACAAAACAATTCCTGAAATAGAAATTTTAATTTAAATAGTGATATTTATATCAATTATTATTCCATAAGGCACCTGTAAAAGAAAAATGATTCAACTTATAAAATTTCTTTAGTTAAATTTTTAATTGAATTTTATATCTAAATCTAACATTAAAGAAAAAAAAATAGGTTGGACAAACATGTACATACTGTGTCTTATCAAAAATTTCTTGTAAAAATATAATCATTTGACATCAACCGTATAACTCATTGACATTGAAGATGTTTATAAAATTCATCATAAATAAATGTAATAAACATAATAACTGCCAATTCCTTGAGTTTTATCTTCACTTTTATTAAAAACATAATTTATTCACTGAAATTATAAAATTAAAATAAGTTAATATAGCACAGTAATGAAAAATTACATTACATTATATATATATAAATGACAATTTATTTTAATATTAATAAATAAACTAACAATTCACAAAGTTAATTATTTTTACAGTTAAGTAAACAAAGTGAAAATTTAATTTAATGCATATTTTAGATATAAAAAAAAAAAATGGAATTAAACTGAAAATGAATCAGTGTTACCATAAAAATATTACATAATATCAATACAATAACTAAGTATAGATCCTAAATAAAATAAGAGGCTATTAAAGAATAAGTAAAATAAAGTAAGCTTTAATCAAAAAATTTTATTTTGCATTATTATTACTTTAATTATGCAACTATTCAATATTGTGTGACAAGTAAATTATTTTAATTTGATAAATAATTTTCATTTAATATGGCATAAATGTTTGCACCAGTTCAATGAAACAGTTAGTTTTTAAACTGTTTCATCCTAAGAATTTTGAAACATGCATCTTATTTTTTGTATAGAAAATTAATTGTAAATCTTTGGTAAGAAACCTTATAATTTTAATGAATGTATTTGAAGAAATTTTTGATTTATTTATTGGTTATTATAGTATATGCCTCTTGAAAAATTATTATACTAACAACTTTATGGTGCGAAAATCTGAGAACATTTTTTAATTATATAACTTTACTAATAGAATTCTTCAGTAAAATTATCTATGAAAAATAGTAATTGGATGAATTAAATATGTTAATTAAAAATATAACTTCATTTTAAATACATTTAATAATAAATAAAGAAAAAATTGTTTACTTTAAAAAGTTGTTAATTCAATATAAAAGATAACAAAATTTCAGAATTAAAGAAATTATTAAAATAATACTTACATTTTCTTGTTATATTCATCTAACCACAATCCAAATTTCCTGCTTTACAGTTTAATTTTTTATTTTTAAGCTTATATTCAATTACTAAGGATGACATCATAATTCACATAATTCCACAATTATCAAATAATAAGCAATTCCTCAATTATCTCTTCCAAAGCTAATTTATAAGAGATAATTCAATTAAAATTGTATCAAAGTAGATTAAAAGGATTACGAGCAAGATATGGATTAATAAATTTATATTTATACATTTATACATATATATCAATGAAGATATAATTTATGTATAAATCAGTCAGAAAAATACTCACTATTTATGAGACTGAAGAGCAAATTAAAGGTTCACCAAAAGAAATACTATTTCCTTTAACAGAAACATCTGAACTTTATTGAACACTCATCCACGTTTAGGAGAACATTCATCAAACCAACTATTGCTTTCCAAAACATCGGATATTAATCCTGATTTTTCAATTGGCATAGGCTTGTATCGTAGAAAAAATTACACGCTGGCAAGCATCAAACTTGCATCAATTTGAGAATTTTGTTGCTTAGATTAGTTTGGCCTTTAACCCATTATTTCTTAGCAAACAACTGGTTGTCCATAAAAAATCTGTGAAGTGCAATTAACAATTACAAAACGACCAACAATTTCCACACAACACTTTTTATTTGTTTACATCTCTAAAAATTCCAAAAAATTGAGGAAATAACATTAAACTATTAATTTCTATAAGTCTTCAAAAAAAATTAAAACTTGTTGCCAAATTTCCCTGCATTTTCAGAAAAACCTTACTATTTCATTTCATATAAAACAATAATTTTGGATTAGAAATATATAAAGCTCTGTAATTTCAAAATTAAAAAAATTTTTGGAAACAACTTATTTTCCATAATGTGAATATCATTCTATTCATGATATAATTAAATGTATTGAAAATGCAGAGATTTAAGTACAAATATGGCAAAAGTTGAAATTTTTAATTTAAAGAAGCATTACATCGCATTTAAGAACACAGTTATTGGGATATACATCATTTCTTAAAATGTAATATAATGAATACTTATGTTAATATACAGAGATATAACAAAAAATTATTCTTTTTCAAGAGAAAAATGCTCAAACAGAAAATACTCAGAAAAGTCTAAAATGTTCTGGTCAAAATGTCTTAGAGTGAACACAATACAATAAAATTGTGTTCAATTTATATAATGAAATGCATTTTTAATCATTTACAAAGCTTATACTTTCTTCTTAAAATCAATTTTAATGAAAGAAAACAAAAAGAAAAAAATTTCTTAAATGTAACAATAATGGCCACATTTAGATGAAATCACCTACCCTGTTCTCTGTATCAAATACATGAAATCTATATGCATGCAATATATGATATGCACAAATACACTAATACTTCATGAAGAGTCTGATGAATATCTTCGTTTTTGATTGGAACTTTTCTCTTTAGTATTTCTTGACTTTTTTCTGGGTTCGCTATCTGAGCTACTATCGTGGCGTTTTCTGTAATTTCGTTTTTCCCCCTTTCCTCGGCTATCGACTATAGCATGTTTCGAATGTTCGTCACTGTCTGAACTACTACTATTACTTCTGCGTCTAGAACTAGATGGACCTCTATCTGATCTACGATACCTATCCCTGTCTCCTTTATCTCGTCTTCCACGTGCACTGCTATCTGAACTACTGTCACGTCTTCGTCGATTAGAATCCATATATCTATCCCTGACATTCCTATTATATGATCCTCTGTAGCCCTGCCTATCCATATTTGATCTGTTATTCTGCCAACGAGATTGCATTTGTCTTCTCCCAAAATTTCTTTGATATCTTTGAGGTTGCCATCGATAACCTCTATTGTCTCTCCAGTTTCGAGACCAAGGCTGTCTTCTGACCCAAGGTCTTCTGTCATCCCAATTTCTAGATGTTGACTGACGAGGCTCACTCTCTGAACTGCTATCTCTTCGATTCCTATTTTTATCTCCGTAACGATTTCTCTGAGGTGAACGCTTCTCACTATCAGTGCTAGATTGACTACGTCTATTTCTATCGGCTTCGTGTCTTCCCGAATGAAAATTTTTATGATGTGAGTTATCGTAACGATTTCTTGGTTCTGAACGAGAGCTGTCACTATCTGATGAATGATCTCTTTTTGATGACTTTTTATCTGTTGGTTTTGACTTCACGTCTTCATCGCTACTGCTGCTGCTGCTACTACTAGATGAACGCTTTTTCTCGATCTTTGGTTTCATTTTTTTACTAGGTTCAGAATGTACTTTTTCTGGACTCTGTCTTTCTTCATCACTGCTATTAATTTGTTTCCGTTCTAACTTTTTAACAGGTTTTGCTTCTTGTTGTATTTTTGAAAATTTTTCAGTTTCAGAATTGTCTTCTTGACTAGATGATGAGTTGCTTTTTCTTTCTGCTCGTTTTTGTCTTATAAGTTTTTGTTCATCATCTTCACTAGCAGAACTACTATCATATAATTTACTACCTCCTCTCTTTTCTCTTGCTTCTAAATGTTTTTCAACTAAATGACTAGTAGCTTTTTCTAATTGCTTTTTATTATCAATATTTTTTATAGGTTCATCATCACTACTGGAAGAATCACTACTTTTCATAATATTTTTTCCTTCATTTCTAATACCATACTCTTTAGCAGATAAAGCTTTTTTAGATTCTAGCATATGATCTGAAATGTTTTCATTATAATTTCGCTGTGCAGCTGATTTAACTTTCTCACTTTTATGATCGTCAGGGAGCTCATCACTACTTGATTTATTTTTATTAGAAATTTTTGATCTAGAATCCATCATTTCATTTATTGATCTCTTAGATTTGGAGTAATTTTTATCTTCATGCTTTGTTTCCAATTGTTCATTTTCAGAACTAGAACTGCTATCATGTCGTCTTTTACTTTCATATTTCTCACTATGGGTTCCAGATGATTGACTACTAGGTCGGTTAGATTTTGAGACATGTTTTGGTAAAATGGACTCTGAAGATTTGCTAGGATAGTTTTCATATTCAAGCTGTCTATTTCTTCCACCATGACCTTGTTCCATTTCAGATTTTTTACTTCTTTCATTATCTCTTGAACGATGCATGCTGCTTTCATAGCCTTTCTTCTCATATTCATTTAGTTTTGATGAATGAATGGATTTTTCACCTTTTTGACTATGTATGAATTGATGACTTTCAAGAGCTTCTTCTGTAGAATGTTTTGATGGTGGACTACTAATTATATTTCTTTCTTTTGAAGACTTTCCTCCTTCAAATCCTTCTTTAATTCTTTCTGTATCTCGTTCTAGTTTCCTATATTTATCATTTTTGTAAGTTTTATATGGATTTTCTTGATAATATTTTTGCCCTAGCTTATCTGCATCTGCTGTTTGTTTTTCAACAGATGCTTCTTTGTGCTTTATATTTTTAATCATATCATGTCGACCACTCTTTGGACTAAGAGAATGTTTATTTGCCAAAACATTTTGATCACCTTCACTATCTGAACTATTGCTATCGCTTACTATCATCTTAGGGATTTCATTATCAGAATCATCATTAGATTGACTTCTGTATTTTTTAGGCTTATCCGGAAGATTGCCTCTGAAATCTCTTTCTTCATATTTATGTTTTCCTGAATCTTTATCTTGTTTATTAGCAAACTGTTGTATTGTCTTCTTTTCAACTTCCATAGACTCTCTTGCTGAAATTGCACTGATTGATTCCTTCATACCTTTATCATCGTCACTGTCTGAATCAGAATCATGTCGTTTCTTCTTACCTGTGAATTCTTGTTCTGCCAACAGCTTCTTTTTGTGTTTCCGTTCAGTTTTTTCTTCCATGCTATCTAGTTTCATTAACTTCTTCTTCTTCTTCTTCTTCTTCTTATGCTTTTTATCTTTCTTCTTATGCTTTTTCTTTTTAACATCACTTTCTGGACTGTAATGAAAAGATTGTAGACTTTTATAATTAACAAGCTATATATATATATATATAATTAATTATATGCAAATAAATAAATCTTTATTGTACCTTTCTTGCATTTGAACAGCTTTTCTGTCATCATCATCAGCTTTCATATCATCATCATCATCATCATCATCATCATCTTTCTTATCTGTGCTTCCACTTTTTTTCCTACCAACTGGAATCATAAAATCAACTCCCATCTGTTTTGTTGATGCAGCACTCAGCATGGATGCCCTAACACTGAAATTCAACAAAACATTTAAAAATTACAGATGCCAATTGTTTAATCCAAATTGTGCCTTGTTTTACAAAAATTAAAAATTTAGTAGTTTTACTTAAAGTAGATTGTTTAAACTATCATCACATTACATTCAGTACAAATTAATGAAATAAATTTAAAGTACAGAAATTATGCAATTTCTTAAGAATGTATCATCATAAAACATAATTCAATACTTAACCTCTCACCAGTCTGACCTATTTGAATATCATAACACATGAATTACAAGATTTAAAAATACAGTAATCATCATATTTATATACAATTTTTAATTTGCAAGATAATTACTGTATTCTTAAGTCTTATAATTCTTATTTTATGATATCCAAATAGGTCAGACTGAAGAGGGGCTATGCCTGAAATGCATATATGACAAAAAAAAAAAAAAAAAAAAAAAAAAAAAAAAAAAAAAAAAAAAAAAAAAAAAAAAAAAAAAAAAAAAAAAAAAAAAAAAAAAAAAAAAAAAAAAAAAANGTCCTTCAAAACAAATAATAAGTAATATATTAAAAAATTTTAAATATACAAAAATAAAGCAGTGTAATCTGTACCTCTTTATAAACTTAATCAGATAAGACCCAAATCTATGGATATTAGAGATTTTTTTTATTCACTAGAGAAACATTAGACAATAATAAACAGCTCTTTAGTCTTAATTACAAGTTCTTTAGATGCAATTGACATTAACAAAACTTTGTCTCAAAAAATCTGTTTAAAGTGCTTCCAATTAGGCTAGCATAAAAACTGTATCATGTCTACCAATTCTACTAATCAATGAAAAGTATAAAGGACCTACATTAGACTTACAAATCTTGTCTGAATGATTTATACAGATGTATGCTTTAATTTTGTTTATTACTGAAGATTCTTGTAACAAAATTATTTTAACTTTTAAACTTAAATTCTGATTCAAAAATAACCAATATATTTTTTGCTGTGTTCAAATAAGTGTGTTTCATTTTTCATTTAGTTCATAAGGTTCAAACCCAATCTAATAATGTAAAGAACACTTTGGATAAACAGTAGACTTGGCAAAAATGGAACAACAGATAAGATTATAATTACAGGTAAGCCTCCTACAATGCGGTACCTTTATAACACTTTTTTACTCCAACGCGGTTGGAAAAATGCGGAAATTTTCTTACAACACAGTACTTTTACAACGCGGTTTACAGTATTTAGAAATGAATTATCTTCACATAACAGAAAAATCACAATGGATCATGTGATACGAGCCGAATTTCGGCATACTGAGCAAAAAGTCTTTGAAAACAGCTGATTGTGGATGTTGGCATGTTATTCCCTTCAAAGTTTCAGGGAAAGATCAGTTTCTGGACAGATGTGCATCAGTTACCGTAAACACTCAAATACATCACTAAATTTTCGATCATTTATATACTTTCAATAAGTGGGGACCGCAGAAATGGTCCAAAATACAGTATAAACTTCTATTGGATGTATATTTTTTACAACATGGTAAAAGGAAGTTATTTTTTGCGATTTTTACTGTCCACAAAACTGATTGAAAAAATTTTAGCCCTAACAATGCTGAATGAAAAGAAAGGACAGTCATTAAAAAGGAAATTCATAACTCTTCAAACAAAGATAGAAATTTTGGATCGAATTAAATATCAAGAGCAGATAGCTGATATCGGTAGGCATTTTAATTTAAATGAGTCGACGATTCGGTTGAGAGAAAAGATCAGAAATTTGGTCGCATCCAGATCATCTATTCTTGTGAAAAATGTTGCTCGTCCGAGAGCACCTATAATGGAAAAAATGGAACAAGCGCTAATATTATGGGTAGAAGACATGAACAAGAAACGGTTACCTTTAAATAAAACTGCACTTAAACACTTAAAGCCTTAAAAATATTTAATTATTTAAAACAAATGGGACAGTCATCAGCTGATGAAACCAGTGTTAAATTTGTGGCTAGCAATGGCTGGTTTGAAAAATTCAAAAAACACCATTCAAATGCCAAGTCTCTCTCTTTTTAAAACTGAATCCCAGTTTTTGTATTAAGTTGGTGTCTCCTATAACGCGATTTCCCACAACGCAGTATTTTCAAGGAACGTATCTACCGCGTTGTAGGAGGCCTACCTGTACTCAAATATCAACAGCTAAAGTCTGCTAGATTTTTTAAGACTTATTTCTTAATAGTAAATTGATTAATTTAAATTTAATTAATTAATTTGGCCTAGCAAAAACCCTATTCAAAAAAAGAGCAAAGACTTAATTCACCACTCCCACTGCATTTTGGTTTTTAAAATAAAAATTCTAAAATGTTCCTTAAAAAAAAAAACCTATAAAAATTAATCACTTTGCATCCACTCCTTATCTGTTATAAATCAAATCCTGATTCATAATATGAAATCATGTGTGTAGCAACTTCAAAATTTCAAATTATTGTACAGTTCTCGATTGATTGATATTTGTAATGATTCAAGATATAGATTATCTTAAAAATAAGGTCTGTCCAGAAAGTTTAGGCAATTTTACAAGACAATAATATTTATTGAAAATAATTAATACGTTTTATATTTAATGTTTAATTTTCCTTCACATAAAATTAATTCAAAAACACTGTTTCCGATTGTTAAAATTATCTTGCTGAAATATCCAGTTATTTTCAGCAATTTGTACTCCAAAAGGTAAAAGATTCTGTTAACAAGTTTGTTGATAAAATTCTGAGTTATCTTGTCCAGGAATAAATATAATTGGAATTTTCCCATCATATCCAAATCCTGCCCAAACCCTAATGCTTCCTTCCCCTTGTTGTCTATTGAAATGTGTTCTAGATTCTTTTCTAAAATCATGCCAATAGAAGGCTCACCCAAATTCCACTTTTTTCATCACTAAACACTACATTTTCCATTGTTCTTTCCGCATTGTTTTCTTGCCCAGTCTAACCTTGCCTCAACATGTTGTCATTTTAAGGAAGGTTGTTTAGCCATTCTTGTGTAAGTAATTGTTGGTGATGATTTTAATAGATTATGAATGGTGCTTTTACTTACTTTATGATCCACATCTACCGCAAATCTTACTTCAAATTCTACAACATCTGTTTGAAAAAAACAGATGTAAAATTTTGAAGTAAGCTTTAAATTCTTTCATCATGTTCAGTAGTCACTTTTGGTCTTCCAGATCTTGGTTTAGGTTTCCAATTTTCATCTTTTTCAATAACATTGTATATTCCTGAGGCAGACTTATGAATTTCTTTAGCAATTTGATTAACTGTAGCACCTTCTTGCTTTTCCAAATGTAAACCACATCATTGTCAGTAAATTTTTTGTTTCTTGGCAGGATTAATATTACAGATGTAGCATTTGTTGAAAATTGTTAAAATAATGCACTCTTGTAATATTTTAAAGAACTGAATGAAATTATTAATACTTGTAAAGTTTAAAAACATAAAAAAATCCAATAAATAAAAATTACCTAAACTTTTTAGATACACATTATTCAATTTACTTAAATTTTTAAATGAAATTATAGGGTAAATTTCTTCTAAGTAGTAAATATTTATTAATTAATGTAATAAAAATATTTATGTTAAATAAAAATAACAATATTTTTATTTAAATAGAATTTTTCACAAAAAACTAAATTATCTAACTTTTTGGACAGACCTTAATTTTATTAATATGGAAACATGCTAACATTAGAACCACAGTATAGGTGTTGGATAGAAAAAAAAAAAAAAAAAAATTTTTTTATNAAAAAAAAAAAAAAAAAAAAAAAAAAAAAAAAAAAAAAAAAAAAAAAAAAAAAAAAAAAAAAAAAAAAAAAAAAAAAAAAAAAAAAAAAAAAAAAAAAAAAAAAAAAAAAAAAAAAAAAAAAAAAAAAAAAAAAAAAAAAAAAAAAAAAAAAAAAAAAAAAAAAAAAAAAAAAAAAAAAAAAAAAAAAAAAAAAAAAAAAAAAAAAAAAAAAAAAAAAAAAAAAAAAAAAAAAAAAAAAAAAAAAAAAAAAAAAAAAAAAAAAAAAAAAAAAAAAAAAAAAAAAAAAAAAAAAAAAAAAAAAAAAAAAAAAAAAAAAAAAAAAAAAAAAAAAAAAAAAAAAAAAAAAAAAAAAAAAAAAAAAAAAAAAAAAAAAAAAAAAAAAAAAAAAAAAAAAAAAAAAAAAAAAAAAAAAAAAAAAAAAAAAAAAAAAAAAAAAAAAAAAAAAAAAAAAAAAAAAAAAAAAAAAAAAAAAAAAAAAAAAAAAAAAAAAAAAAAAAAAAAAAAAAAAAAAAAAAAAAAAAAAAAAAAAAAAAAAAAAAAAAAAAAAAAAAAAAAAAAAAAAAAAAAAAAAAAAAAAAAAAAAAAAAAAAAAAAAAAAAAAAAAAAAAAAAAAAAAAAAAAAAAAAAAAAAAAAAAAAAAAAAAAAAAAAAAAAAAAAAAAAAAAAAAAAAAAAAAAAAAAAAAAAAAAAAAAAAAAAAAAAAAAAAAAAAAAAAAAAAAAAAAAAAAAAAAAAAAAAAAAAAAAAAAAAAAAAAAAAAAAAAAAAAAAAAAAAAAAAAAAAAAAAAAAAAAAAAAAAAAAAAAAAAAAAAAAAAAAAAAAAAAAAAAAAAAAAAAAAAAAAAAAAAAAAAAAAAAAAAAAAAAAAAAAAAAAAAAAAAAAAAAAAAAAAAAAAAAAAAAAAAAAAAAAAAAAAAAAAAAAAAAAAAAAAAAAAAAAAAAAAAAAAAAAAAAAAAAAAAAAAAAAAAAAAAAAAAAAAAAAAAAAAAAAAAAAAAAAAAAAAAAAAAAAAAAAAAAAAAAAAAAAAAAAAAAAAAAAAAAAAAAAAAAAAAAAAAAAAAAAAAAAAAAAAAAAAAAAAAAAAAAAAAAAAAAAAAAAAAAAAAAAAAAAAAAAAAAAAAAAAAAAAAAAAAAAAAAAAAAAAAAAAAAAAAAAAAAAAAAAAAAAAAAAAAAAAAAAAAAAAAAAAAAAAAAAAAAAAAAAAAAAAAAAAAAAAAAAAAAAAAAAAAAAAAAAAAAAAAAAAAAAAAAAAAAAAAAAAAAAAAAAAAAAAAAAAAAAAAAAAAAAAAAAAAAAAAAAAAAAAAAAAAAAAAAAAAAAAAAAAAAAAAAAAAAAAAAAAAAAAAAAAAAAAAAAAAAAAAAAAAAAAAAAAAAAAAAAAAAAAAAAAAAAAAAAAAAAAAAAAAAAAAAAAAAAAAAAAAAAAAAAAAAAAAAAAAAAAAAAAAAAAAAAAAAAAAAAAAAAAAAAAAAAAAAAAAAAAAAAAAAAAAAAAAAAAAAAAAAAAAAAAAAAAAAAAAAAAAAAAAAAAAAAAAAAAAAAAAAAAAAAAAAAAAAAAAAAAAAAAAAAAAAAAAAAAAAAAAAAAAAAAAAAAAAAAAAAAAAAAAAAAAAAAAAAAAAAAAAAAAAAAAAAAAAAAAAAAAAAAAAAAAAAAAAAAAAAAAAAAAAAAAAAAAAAAAAAAAAAAAAAAAAAAAAAAAAAAAAAAAAAAAAAAAAAAAAAAAAAAAAAAAAAAAAAAAAAAAAAAAAAAAAAAAAAAAAAAAAAAAAAAAAAAAAAAAAAAAAAAAAAAAAAAAAAAAAAAAAAAAAAAAAAAAAAAAAAAAAAAAAAAAAAAAAAAAAAAAAAAAAAAAAAAAAAAAAAAAAAAAAAAAAAAAAAAAAAAAAAAAAAAAAAAAAAAAAAAAAAAAAAAAAAAAAAAAAAAAAAAAAAAAAAAAAAAAAAAAAAAAAAAAAAAAAAAAAAAAAAAAAAAAAAAAAAAAAAAAAAAAAAAAAAAAAAAAAAAAAAAAAAAAAAAAAAAAAAAAAAAAAAAAAAAAAAAAAAAAAAAAAAAAAAAAAAAAAAAAAAAAAAAAAAAAAAAAAAAAAAAAAAAAAAAAAAAAAAAAAAAAAAAAAAAAAAAAAAAAAAAAAAAAAAAAAAAAAAAAAAAAAAAAAAAAAAAAAAAAAAAAAAAAAAAAAAAAAAAAAAAAAAAAAAAAAAAAAAAAAAAAAAAAAAAAAAAAAAAAAAAAAAAAAAAAAAAAAAAAAAAAAAAAAAAAAAAAAAAAAAAAAAAAAAAAAAAAAAAAAAAAAAAAAAAAAAAAAAAAAAAAAAAAAAAAAAAAAAAAAAAAAAAAAAAAAAAAAAAAAAAAAAAAAAAAAAAAAAAAAAAAAAAAAAAAAAAAAAAAAAAAAAAAAAAAAAAAAAAAAAAAAAAAAAAAAAAAAAAAAAAAAAAAAAAAAAAAAAAAAAAAAAAAAAAAAAAAAAAAAAAAAAAAAAAAAAAAAAAAAAAAAAAAAAAAAAAAAAAAAAAAAAAAAAAAAAAAAAAAAAAAAAAAAAAAAAAAAAAAAAAAAAAAAAAAAAAAAAAAAAAAAAAAAAAAAAAAAAAAAAAAAAAAAAAAAAAAAAAAAAAAAAAAAAAAAAAAAAAAAAAAAAAAAAAAAAAAAAAAAAAAAAAAAAAAAAAAAAAAAAAAAAAAAAAAAAAAAAAAAAAAAAAAAAAAAAAAAAAAAAAAAAAAAAAAAAAAAAAAAAAAAAAAAAAAAAAAAAAAAAAAAAAAAAAAAAAAAAAAAAAAAAAAAAAAAAAAAAAAAAAAAAAAAAAAAAAAAAAAAAAAAAAAAAAAAAAAAAAAAAAAAAAAAAAAAAAAAAAAAAAAAAAAAAAAAAAAAAAAAAAAAAAAAAAAAAAAAAAAAAAAAAAAAAAAAAAAAAAAAAAAAAAAAAAAAAAAAAAAAAAAAAAAAAAAAAAAAAAAAAAAAAAAAAAAAAAAAAGCAATACAATACTTTTAAAACAGCAAGTATCTTAGTCCTTGTATGATTAGTTCCAAACAGGAAAGTCACAATTAATGGACACTGCTATTCATTGAAAACAACAAGGTTGGTCAAGCTGATCTGATAGCACGCTCCATAAAAGTGAATCAAGTATTAATTTTGTTTAGAATAAATTTTTAAATTCATGGAATCAAGTAGTTGTTCCGAAGAATTTTTTTACTGAATATACAGTAAGGGATGTGGTTTATAGATTCCAGAGAAACCGGGTAGTTTTTACTATAGCTTACAGTGACTGTAAATGAAAATGTTGTTTTCTTTTGCACATGTGCAATAAATGGATTGAACAAAGCATGCGCGAGTACATGCACAATGAAAGGATTAAACGAATCAAAATGGAATTTGCACATGCAACTCTCTTTGGGCAGCAAAACCCAAGCCATGGGCCGTGGCACCTTCTCCCCTTCAAAGGGGAGCACAGTCACAGGTAGTCGCAAACCCTCCTCAGGCAGAGATGGGGTGCCATCAAATGATCTGGCAAAACTAATAAATACATTTGCTGTCTCAAATATATAATGCCTGACAGACACACAAAAGTCCTAACATAAGCACTTCACTACTATGGTGGAACATGCTAAAAACGGAAAACTGTAGTTGTACTTACATTTTGATGCTTTGATCTGGTTAGCATCATTTGCTTCTAAGAAAAAAAGGTAAATGTTCACTTAGGTAGCACCAATGATGGTATTGTGTTTAACAATTTAGATCACATGACTATGCCAGCTTCAAGTAGCCCATTTGACTGTTCATGGAGTACTTGATTTTATATAGTTTTATGGGAAATATGGGGCTTGCCCCCACCCAGGTGCTAAGGTGCAATCAACAGCAAGCACCGAGGCCCACGTCTACATGCAAAGCATATAGGATAATGGTAGACTGATGTGTGTTAAAAACTGACCTTTGGTGACGACACAAAGAGTCAACAATTGTGGAGTGGTGTGATTTATGTAAAAAATACAAAAGAAAACATTGATTTCACTAAAAAAGTAGTAAAAATGACTGGCACCCTGTTAATGGAGGTGCCGCCATTGGGGCTACCTAGGTGAACATTTACTAAAAAAAATTCTGCTTATCTATATAAAATAGATATGTATGATTATCTTATGTTGATAAGCAATAAAAGGAACTGTAAAGGAGCTAGAAAGTTAACAAAGGTAACAAAGAATATTATCATCAAAATTTAAATAATGCCTTAATAGCAGTGAAAAGTTATCGGTGACAATTTCTTAGTAAAATACTGTAGTTTCTGTAAGACAACTTTTTAAAATGTAAAAACAGTATGTATTTTTATATTCTAAATATACAATATTTACAATACAAATTCTGGAAAAAAACCTGAAATGTAACTTGAATTCCTGTTTCGAGTTGATAAGTCAAATAACAGTCTGAAAAGTAATCCAGAAGTTTAGGCTTAACTTTGGCCAAAGATATGGGATTTGGTTTTATTTTTGAAACTTCTGTGAGAGTTTCAAAAAAGTTAAAAAAAAAAGGAGATCACTACAGATATGATTATATCCTTTCCCATGGACTTGCTTCCTTGTTTGGGGGTGACACATTGAATGTGTCATTAGGAATCATATGCAAAAATCACCATTGGATGTGAAGGACGATTTTACCAAAAAAGGACAAGAGTTGCGAGGGGAGGACCCCCAAATAAGGGAGAAGGTCCGATGGCCCAACAGAAGAGTTTGTCCGTCCTCAAAGGTTGTTGTGTGTGTACACTCGGATACACTTCTCTGCCAATGCTCTTCCAATAGCCAGCGATCAGAAGCTTAACCACTGATAGCCGATGACCCTAAGTACCCACCAAGGATGTGTCTCCATAAAAAAAAGGACCCAAATCAAGAGAGCAATCTTCGGGTAAATATCACATGCAAACGTTTGTAAACTCTCTCTCACTTAAAGCATATGTGTAACTAGTTTATATAATCAATAAACGAGTATTATTTTCTATAATCGAATTGTAAAGTGCAATTCTTTAGCCCAATTGGTCTCCATCCCGAGTCCAACTGCCCATAGATGTGACTGCTCGTGCGTAAAGACAAACGTGACGGTCTCTGTGTCTACCCAGAAGACACAGTGGTGTCAGTCCTGATGAATTAGTCATTGCAGTCTTCACTGATGCAATGTCGACCCTTTGGTCCTGGCATAGGGGGCACTTTGCACATTGTCACACTTCTAAAGGAGACCATTCATATGTAGCATGGTAACAATCCAACAAGTTTTCCTATATTATCACTGGCTATATATATATATGCATTTTAAATTACATGCCATTATCCAGCCATAACAAAATTTTATCCAATCATAGAATTTTCTCTAGGTAACATTGGATGCTTTTGGCTAGTATACCAATATTTTATGAATTTTACCAATGCTTCTCAAACTAGGAGTGCCATAAAAATTTTTTAAAAAATGTTTCAACAATTTTCAACTTCATTTTTAATGCATTTAATTTAATTAAAAAATAGTATAATAAAATTCTGTTTTTTTATGAATTTCCCTTGTCACTAAAAAATGTAAAAAGCACTAATAAACAGTATTCTTTCATTTGCCATTATGGAGCACATCTATCAATCATCTTAGATGTTAATAGCTACTAAATATGATTAATGTATGTGTTAATAAAATGAGTATGTGAGTATTAACAAACAGATTATAAATAACCTGTTTATTAAAAACTGTAAATATTAAATAATTTATATGAATGTAAGTTTTTATAATAAACTAAGTATAAGAATATATTCTAGGAACTGTGACGTTTCTTTAATTAGATTTTAAAAAGTCTAATTAAAAAATTAAAGAAATTAGATTTTAAAAAATCTAATTAAAGAAATGTCACAGTTCTTAGAAAATATTCTTGCGTTGGCATCAAAAAGTTTGAGAGGAACTAGAGTATACAGATAAAATCATTTATTTTAAATCATTCAATATTTTCATTTAAATTAATATTATCATCAACAATATATAAGATAAATACATTTTCTAAGATTAAAAACATAAAATGAAAAAATTTTAATTACTAATCTAATAATCCGTAACTACACAAGCATCTTGATATATTAAATTATGACATCAACATACTATTTGTGAAAAAACAGTTAATACAAAAAAAAGTTTCTGTATATTTTCATTAGTTATTATTATTTACAAATAATATCAGATTGTGATAAATACTGTATGTTTAGTTAATGTAATAGGTGCTATCTCATTAATTTAAAAAGAAGTGGACATAAAAATTACTTAATTACTTAGGTCAGCAATTACTTAATTAGAATATATATATTTTTTTTTTAAATCATAAAACAGAAAAATTATTTTTAATAATCTAAATTCAGCTATTAAAGTTAAGATTTACAAAATAAAAAAAAACTATACAATTTATAAAACAAAAAGTATAAAATACCTCTTTGTTCATAACTTGCTGTTCTTTCTGAATTGGCTTATGACCTCTGTAAAATAATAATAAATTTGTAAGAAAAAAACTATGATGTAAAAAAGTTATCATCTTTATAAATTTTATTTAAAGCATATTTCATTAAAAAAGTTGTGTTAGATAAACTATTTCTATTCTGATTCACTACATTTTAATTTGATATTGGTGTGATATTTTTGTGTGTCCAAAAATTAATGTTACTACCAGGTGCTTGAACATTATTCATCCCATTACATATGTTCATAAAAATTATGCCAGTAGAAAATTTTATTTTGCCTCAGTAAACACCTCACAACATGTGCACCGTTTGTTTCATAAACAATATCTAATCTGTATTTGAACTTTCTCCAAGTATTCCTGACCTTCCTGTAGACTGATATATACTAGGTCTAAAATCTTGTATATATCAGATCTACAAGAAGATCACTCAAACAACACAAAACAGATATTGAGAAAAAAGAAAAATACTACTGCCTTAGCTATATATGCCAGTGAAAACGGCATTACACCCAAACTACAACAAGTGATAATGATCTTGCAAACTTGTCACACAAACCAATTTAGGAATTTGGAGGCATTAAAGATTTTTAAAGCAGACTGCAAAGGCCTTTCAAACAATTTTAAGGACAAAAAACAACTCTCAAAGGCATGGCAAGCTATGTATGACGCAGTGTTATAACAGCTGACCCAGGCACACATTTTTAAAAATTTGAAGATAGAAGCATTTGAAATTAGAACACATTGAAGGCTAAATTGAACTCTGATCACACCAGAAAAAATTTTTTCTAGAACTCCACCTGAAGGTCATCCTAGGTAGGACTGAAAATGTTTGTGTTACATTCCAAAAATAACTGCAAAGCATTATAAGGTTAGTGTGTTATATTTAGAATTCTAGAGCTGGCTGCCTACTGAACAACTAGCATATATTCTTAATATCTAATCCTGGATAAACTATTCAATAGCCTAATTATATTACAAGTTTTAAATTTATATTACTATTTTATTACAGCTAGAAATTAACTATAATAATCTAAAACTTTAAATTTAATATAATTTGAAGAAAAAAAAAAAAATGTAAAATAAATAGTGAATATGTAATGAAGTTGTTCTTTTTAAAAGCACAAATTTATTGGGTTGTTCGGAAAGTAAATTCGTTTTTTTTTTCCGTGGCAAAAACAATATTTTTATAATAAATAAATATTTTATTAAATTATATACCAACCATTTTGGTCAAATACTTGTCACTGTTTCTAGTAGTAGCATGATTTCATATTCATAAAAGTTTTGATCGTTGCTTACAAAAAACTGATCCAAGTGATTTTTGACATTGTCATTTCAAGTAAATGTCTTACAGTTAAAAAAATTTGTATAGACCGGAACAAGTAATAATCTGAGTGTGCTCGATCTGGTGAATATGGTTGGTGAGACAGCATGTCCCATGTAAGCTGTAACAGTTTCTGATGAGTTACCAAACTTGTGTGAAATTTGGCATTATCGTGGTAAAACACTACACCTGTTTTGTTGATCAATTCTGGCCGCCTTTTCTGTTTGATGATATTACGCAATTTGTTTACTGGATGGCAGTACACTTTCGAATCAATTGTTAAACTGTCTGGTAAAAGCTCCAAAAAAAAATATTTCCTTAAAATCCCGCCAAAGAAAGCATCTCTCTAAGAACATGTGGAACCCATATATCATGCTTTGAAACGAAACCAATTTGTTTCAAGTAATCATAAACAGTTCAAGTTGACAAATTTAATCTTTTAGTGATTTCACGTGTTGTTGTTCAGCAGTTTGCTTCAATCAGTACCTTTATTTTGTTTTCATTGGCTTCAACTGGTGCATCTTCCATATTGAAATTGCCAGAACGAAATTTTGTAAACCAGTTTTGGCACTGTCGTTCTGTAAATACATCTTCCTCATACATGTCATACAATTTTTTTCTCACTTGAACAACATTCTTACCTTTTTGGTAATAAAATTCGGTAAAAAAGGCCGAAAATGCTGCTTTCGATCTTCTGTATTTGATGGGACACAAAAAATAAACAGTTGCACAAAATCAAACAAAATTTTTTACAAATAAGTCTTAAAATATATAATGCTGTCAAAAATATATAATGATAATACGGTTTAGAATGAAAATGGTAGGAAAAATATGACTAATCCGTCTAGTGGTAAAAAAAACTAACTTACTTTCCGAACAACCTAATAGATAATTCAAAAGTAATCTTGGTTACTAAATGCCAGTTTATTTGAAATTTAAGAACACTAATTTCAGGTTAATTCTTCTTCTTTCATCAGTGTAATTTAATATGATAATTTTTCTATTAACATACGACAATTTAACAAATCACTAAATTTAAAATAAAACTAACAATATAATAATTTACAAGACTTAAACATACAATGCAGCATTCATGGCATCATCTTCTGCTTGTCGAATTGCATCACGTTCAGACGATGAAAGTTTACTCTTATGTTTTTTATCTCTATCCTTATTATACCACTGCAAATCTTTTCCTTTCTGCCACCGACCTACAGGGGCTTTCAAGGAATGACCTAAAAGTTTAAATTAATTTTAATTAGTATTAATTTATGATTTAAAGTTATTTTACATTAAAGTATTTATTAAATGAAAAAATTTATTACTTTATAAATGCTAAAAGTAATTCATAACACTTCTTAATTTTTTAACAAGAGATTGAATTATTAAATGTTTTGTTTACCTAAATTAATAATAATTAAAAAGTTATGAATACATTGCAAATTTTTGTTTATTCTATCTCCTTTTTAAATACAGTAATACCCCGACCTTACGCGATAGATGGGACTGAGCGATAACTGTGTAAGTCGGGGTATAATTTCACAATTTGTGTAAAATCTAAGTTGCATGTATGTAAGCTAATAAATGTTCTCATTAATCTTATCTCGTCTTTTGATTCGTTCACAGTTACAAGAAATCACCACATAGAGTCTATTAAGTCTCCATAGATATAACAAACACAGAAATAAATAACACAAAATAAATTGTAGCTATGTGTCGATTCCATATGACATTTCCGAACATGTAAGCTGAACAATAGTGTAGGGGGAGTGAGTAATCAAGAATTGTGTGGCACTCAAACAAAAGACAAATCGATGAGATTTGAAAATCGTGTAACTCCAGATTTCCGTAAGTCAAGGTATTACTGTATAGTTTATATACAGTAATACCTTGACTTACGTTAGTTTGCACTAAAAAAGCTTTGTTGTAAAAAAACAATATATATATTGAGCAAACACTACAGTCAAATATTAAATCAATAAAACACAAGAGAAATTGTATTTATTTTAAGTCAAAAGCTAAGAAAAAATATGTGTATGTACCATACTTTTCTAACAAATAAAAATGTTACTTTTAGTAGTGTTTTTAATTATCTTTAAAATTAGACATATTTACTCCAGTATAATTAAAAGTATAGTAATATATTGATTAATACTACAGAAATGTTCTTACAAAATGGAAAACTAATCATAACAACACTAAATGGAATCATTATATTATATAATTTTATACTATCTAAGTTAAAAAGGCAATTTGAAACAGGTGCAAGTTATGTGACAGCTGAGTTATATGTCAATTTTAAATTGCAATCACAAAAATCAAACAGCTTTTACTTTGTCTAAAATTATTAAGACTTTTTAGAAAATGTGAAAATTCATTGTGCATGACAGACAATCATGTTACATTGCAAATTTTCCCAAAACCAACTAATATGGATATATATAAGTATATATTTTGCCTTTATACTTCTGTTCATTTTCTGTGCATCAATCCATGTTTTAATTATTATTTTTAGACAATTGTTTAAAAATTTTCTTGAAAGTTGATAAATTTCCAATTAATTCCACTTCTTATATAATGTCATCATTTCAGAGAACTATTCAGAAACTGCATGTTTAGTTTATTGACTCCTGGATCATAGTTGCCATCAGACATTTCACTGAACAGATATCTAATCAAATGGACATTTGTCTGAAAAGTAAATAATCGAATAGACAAATAGAACATAAAAATTTTTAATAATTTATTTAATTTACTTATGTAGGGAAACAAAACTACAACTTCAAACACATTTAAAAGAACATATTGCTGATTTAAATACAATAGGCAAAACTCTGTTTTTCATAAACATTAATACAGTAGAGCGTCGTTTATCCGAATCAATTGGGGACTGGGGATGTTTGGTAAATCGATATTTCGGATAACTGATTATGTACGAAAAAATATATTAACCTATCCCATGTTGAAATTTTTCTCTGTTGCGTGTCACTTTGCGTCGAATTTTTGTCAATGTTCCTAACGAAGACTATTGTATCGTTAAAAATTATTTTTTAATTNATCAGACATTTCACTGAACAGATATCTAATCAAATGGACATTTGTCTGAAAAGTAAATAATCGAATAGACAAATAGAACATAAAAATTTTTAATAATTTATTTAATTTACTTATGTAGGGAAACAAAACTACAACTTCAAACACATTTAAAAGAACATATTGCTGATTTAAATACAATAGGCAAAACTCTGTTTTTCATAAACATTAATACAGTAGAGCGTCGTTTATCCGAATCAATTGGGGACTGGGGATGTTTGGTAAATCGATATTTCGGATAACTGATTATGTACGAAAAAATATATTAACCTATCCCATGTTGAAATTTTTCTCTGTTGCGTGTCACTTTGCGTCGAATTTTTGTCAATGTTCCTAACGAAGACTATTGTATCGTTAAAAATTATTTTTTAAAATTTTGTACAAACAAAATAAATACAGTGGTACCTCGGTATACGTCTGCTTTAGAATACATCCAATTTGGAATACGTCCTGTTTGGACGAAACAAATTTTGCTCGGTATACAACTTTTGTTCAGTATACAACTTAATTCAATTATACGCGCCATCTACGAACAAGTAGCACTATCGGTGTACTAGACTAGACGTTAGCGGTGCTACGGTTTATAACTTTGTTAAATTTCTTCTNTTATTGAAAAATATAAAAACAATAAAAATTATACTCCAGAAGTTAATTTAGTATCAAAAACGTAAAATATTTGAGTAGCCCAAGACATAGCGAAAGATTGCAGCGCCACAGCACTGGCAAAAATTTAATTTGCCAGAATTGGAATTGTTTCGGATAATTGATGTTTCGGTTAATTGACTTTCGGATAAACAACGCTCTACTGTATTACAATTATATTATATAATAAATAAATAAAAAATAGTGTTAAGATCTTACAGCATGAATATAACACATAATGAAGGAAACTTAAAGTGTAGAAATATTAAAAACTAAAATTAAAATCAATAAAAACCAGAGTGTAAAAATAAATGATAATTGGCTTAAATTATTATAAATATAATAATAAAAAATATATTTATAACAATACACAGAATACATTTAAATCATTAAATAATGATTGAAATGTAAGTAAACCAGGATGACATGTTATGTAGAATTAATTATAGCAATAAATGTAACAGAAAATAACCAATAAGTAACAAAGTATGCAAAATAAGATTTAAAAAAAAAAAAAAAAATTGTAAATAAGAATGGAATAAGAGTGGTGCTTAAGTTTTAATAATGATTGAAAGTAAATTTTGAAAAGAGCATCTGGAACAGAAAAACTATTTATTAATTATGGTGTTCTCCCTATATTCAGGCATTACATGTTAAGTGTAGTTGCTGTATTTCTGTTTAGAAACATACCAGTATGTTTGATACCTTTCAATTAAATTTGCATTTTTTCAGTCAAGTTCACTCACAGCATCAGAGAATTTATACTTTAAAAATGTGATATTTAAGCACAATATTTTTATTATTTATAGATCATAAAATTCATACCAAATGACAAGAGAAAGAAAGCTTTTGCTTGATGGCCAAATTGATATTGTTGGTAAGAGAAAACACAATATGACATAATGGTGATGTGAATGCAATGGAAGTTGTGGTGGGTGATTAATTTAAAGATAAAAGACATTGTTCAAGGAGAATCAAGTAATCACTCACATCTCTTGATACTGAACCAGGCATGGCTAACATAAGGCCAGTCTAATGAATTTATGCGGCCTACGATTAATCTTTGAATATTAGCCACTTAAGTCTGAATATCTTGACGAAAAATTCTGAAGCCTAAAATAAAAAAAGGTCAACAACTACCTGTGTGTTTTAGAGTTCCATTACAAATGTCTTAAGCACAGCGTAGAATGTTGATAATGCATGTTAATGTGAAAAATGTATCTGTAATCTCTATGTACAATTTAGTCTCTATGGTATCTCATACCACCTCAAAATCTTCCTAGGGCAGCCTCTGAAGGTGTTGTTCCTAAGAAACTATGGCAAGAATGGTGCATAGACAATGCATGGCACCAGAATCAGATATTTTAAATGACCTATGGAAATCAATTAGAGAGGAAGATTCTCATTAAAAAGAGACAGTCTGCTGATTCTATCAATGCTTCAAAACTTATGGCTTTTTGCTTTCAAGACCACTGGCTGTGTAATGGGACTTTTAATTCTGCACCATTAGGCTTTTAGTTATATACAATGCATGTTACGTTGGATGAGAGTCATACAATTCTTTTAATATACTGTATTGCAAGGAACAAAAATCAAGCTACTTATGACTTGATTTTCAGCATTCTCAAGCATGTGAAACAAACCTTAATCCTGTTTCATTCACAAAAGACTATGAAAGTATGGCTCTTAACAGCATCATAGTGTGTTTCTGTTTCCCAAACACAAACATTTATGGATGTTTTTTCATTTTGGGCAGTACTTGTGAAGAGAAATACAGTACTTAGAACTACAGACTTGGTTTAATGATCCAAGAAATGTAATCATCACTGTTATGCCTTTTCAAGCTTTTCATCTGTACTGATCAGTGATGTCACTAAATCCTTCAGTGAATTAGTTTCCTTTAATGATGATGAAACTAATGAATTTCTATCCGAATTTCTTGGTATGGATTGGTGTTATACAGTGTGGAAGATGACAAAGGCCAGTATTTGAACCCAGAACATGGAACAGATTAGAGAAAACCAAATAAGGCCTTCAAATCTTTCAAGGAGGTGGCACAGAGGGTTTCAATAGAAAATAACAATCACCCACTCTTCTGTTTGCCATCTAGTTTTAAAAGCTAAAAAATTGAGCAGTTAGACCAGGAGTTGACAATTGAGATCAGGATTGGCATTGAGAAAATCCGAAGAATTACCAAACAAAGATCGATGTCTATCATTGAAAAATATTAGTTCAAGGGACGAAATAATTGTAACTTTGAATTATCAGTGATTTACATATATCTTTACAATATGCCAAATGCCATGTAACTGATGTAATTTATTAAGCAAACAGCATGTCTGACAAGAACCTCATAGGTTGCCAGATAGATTTTATAAAAAAATAAAGAAGAATTTCCCAAAATTTAGCTCATATAGTATTAAGATATCCAAATGTAGTAGCTTACAGCTCTACAAATATCTCAACCTGCTATTTGTAGCCCAATCTTGCAATCCTGAAAACCAGCTGTATTTTATGAGAGGAAAAAAAAAAAAATAGTCCATGGGTAATGTGACACCCAAAAAAGTGTTACTGTAAAAGAAAAGCCATATTGACCAGATTAGAGTTGTTCTTGGTCTATTGTTCTCTCATAGCATGGAGGCACAAAAAGAATAAGTTAACATTTGCATATCACAGTTTGACAGAATTTTCACTTTGAATTTCGAAGTAACCAAATTCCTTAATATGTAAAATCTCTATATTCCTGTATACTTATATCATTTTTTTAATTTGTTTTATAAATCAGTTACAAATAAAAAAAAAATACAAATAACAAACAAAATGTCAATTCACTCAGATATCCATTTGGTGAAATGTCTGTCACTGAAATGATCAACCATGAGTTTATTATGCTAACTCATTGTTTTTTTTTTAATTGCTATGAAGTGAAATTTGATACTTAAAATAATTATATACATTTAAAATGATAGCACTAGATTGACTATGCAATGTTTCTTCTTGTTTACTTAGAATAGAATAACTTTCTGCCAAAATTCTAACTAGTTCAGTTAGCTTGTTTTGTCTATAACTTCTGCTAGTGACATCATTGTTTTTGTATCATCATATGATACAGAAGATGGATACTCATGCTACACTAAATGTTTTTTTTTTTATAATGGTAATAAAATTATTATGATTATGTCATTCACCATTTTTATATACATGATCAGTCTAACTTGCTAACTCAGCACACTGTTCAAGGACACTCAAAACTTCTCTTAGCTCTACCCTCCTAGTCAATTTAATATCTTACTTAGCAATCTGCATTATTAAACACAGTCCTGCATTGTTAATTCTTCTAATTTACATTATTTTCTGAAATTTAGTTCTATTTGTCCAAATTCAATTAAGCTGAGATTCCAGCATCATTCAGCTTGCAAATATTTTAAATTATAAAACAGTATATTTGAGTAGTTCATTTGTTTCTTCTCTTGAAAGTATATTTGCTTGAATCAATCTGTTTAAATTTGAATTGATAATATTTGTGTATCAACAGATCATTTTCCTGTAGAATTTTCAAAATGAAAATTTCAGAAATTTTCCTAAACTATCATTTTATTAAATTCATCACTTGTAAATCACAGTCCTGACGCAGCAATTTTTGCATAAACCAATTGAAAAAAATTAAAGTATTTATTATTTGTGTTACTTTTTCTTTAGAATGTAAATTTGGCAGCACAGTAATGCAGTCACATTTTGCACATGGCCCTCAACTCTGCATCACCATTCCAAAATTTACTTCATTGAAAGTGGTTCTGTGCTTTCAAACATTTAAGGACTGGATAGTTATGTAATTATTAATATGTTTTTTCCTCGCCATATATCCAATCTAAGAGTTGGATATCTGTAGCACATAGCAATCTCTCAGAAAATAAGGTTTTCACTTTACATGTGTTCTTCATATTTAGACACTTGGCACATATTTTACGTGTTTTGTACTTTTTTCCTTTCTAAATTTTTGGGACTCAACATTTCTTGCTTCCACAGATGCTGTTTGACTTTTGAATTAATAAAATTTATGAAGTTAATTAATTTAATAGCCCAATGCTAATGAACGTTTAAATTTAAAATTTATATTTCACATGAAATTCATTAAGTTTCATTCCAGTATTGACAGTTAAATGACTTCTAATCAATTTTCTAGTGCCAAGTTTTGCCAAGACTTACAAAGCTTTACAAAAAGTTAAAGCATTTTTCCATACGTATAGTGAAAGGAAACTATGAAAACATTTTAAGTCTTAAAAAGTTGTATTTTCAATTCAGGCAAAATTACACCAAGAAGCAAAGGATAATGTACAACTTTTTGTTAAAATAGTTTTTTTAATGTAGTGTATTCACATTAAAAGTAATAAATGTTATTTATTTATGAAGAGTTATTTATTTACAATGCTTAATAGTTGCCTGCATTCATTACTTTTTCTCCATCTCCTTGAAAAACAACAAATTGAGGTTGCACACTATGTATTCAAAATCAGAGAAATAAAATTGATATTAATATAATTTTCAAATATAAAATAAATAATGTAAGCATAACTAAAAGTAAATTTTGAAATTAAAACTAAAAATACACATCATATAATAACTTTTTACTAATTTTTTTATTTTAATTTTAAAATCATCTTCAAATATAACAGAAATTTTTACAATAAAAAAATATGCACAATACAAAACAAAACTAAAATTGGAATGCATTTACTACATAACATTTTATTTAAATAGCAGATATTTTAAATTTGTTTAAATAATTTTAAGACTGAAAAACTTTTAAAAAATAATCACAAACTCACATTAAGTAATGATAAAAGTTAAATAATATTTAATGAATTGATTATATTTAGAAATATCAACTCTTCATTGAAAAAAATCCAGCTTGTATATTAAACTTTACAATTATGAAATATTTAGATAAAAAAAATCAACACACAAAATTACATATTTCAGAATAGTCTATAGCACAAACAAGCTTTTTTGGATTTTTATGACTTACCCAAATAATTCTCTCTGTATTTATCAGTCTTCACAGAATCCCAACTAAACTGATCTGCTCCTCCTCGTACACCCCCTCTTGATGGATGATGCATTCTTCTAAATTAATTAAAATTTAAATCCAACTTAGACCACTAGATGCAATAAATGAATGAATGAAATCAAACATATTCATGTGCAATTGTGTTAAATACCATATATACAATTTTGATGTAGAATATATATAAAATTAGATAAATTATTATTTATCTTACTTTTTAATTTTTTTTCAAATATCTTCAATAAAAATATTCATTTTATTGCCATTATTATTAATTCAGGATCACTTCCATTTTATATATTTCTGATCAATCATATTTAGTTGCATATTTAACAAACAACAAATGATAAATTAATATCAATCATTATGTAAATCCAGAAAACATTTTTATTTTTCTCAGTTATAGAAATGACATTTTTAGATAAGTTATAATTCTTGGTAATAATTTTGACTTCTCATATTAATTAAATCATCAAATAAGATAATTGTAAGTTATTTGTTCACTGTAATATTATATAGTGTTATAAATTTAAAAACATAATAGTAAGCAATGAAACAGGATCTTCAACTAGATTCATTTCAATTCCATTTCTAAAAACATTCCTTCCATTTTTATCTTCAGAATATATCTAATTTTTAAATCTTCATTATTCTGAAGATAAAAAAAAATAATCAAAGCAAGATTTCTAAAAACAAAAAGACTGTTTTTTTAATTATTAGATTTAAAAATTTCAAACATACATTTCCAACAAAATATACATAAAGCTTCATTCAGTGATAATTTCTGCATTTTTGTACAATATCACTTTGTATATTGTGTAGCTTAATAATTTAAAATTTAACTTGCAGCTCATTCACATTCAATGCAGTGAAACTGATAGTTTAATAATTTGAAAATGCAACTTGAATACATTTCATAAAGAAATGATCATTATTGCTTAAAATGATGTTTCATCCATTTTTAATGTAACATACTAAACTAACTGTGCACAAAACTCATTGAAAAAGTGAAAAACTGCATTAAGGCAATAAAATTTCTATATCATACCATAAAAGGATCTACACTAGGAGCCAAAGGATTTCAATGTGCATCAATTGCTATATCAGCAGTTTCCAGGTAAATGAATTGCCACTACAGGTCATAGAATGCCTCCTAGATCATCAGTCTTCACTCTCTTGACTTTTTTATGGAGATATGTAAAAATTTAGTATACCATAAGAAACAATGAATCAACTTGAAGGGATGCATTTCTGATGCAAACGTGAACATAATAACTAAGTGTATTAATACCTATTCATTGTGAATGAGAGGAATTCATCTATACTTGCACCCAAAAACATATTTTAATGACCAAAAAAAGTAATCATTTGTCTCTGTATATAGACTTTTGAAACCTTACATATCTGTAGAGTATAATGCAGGACTGAACAGATGATAATTACATTATGATATGAAAATCATCTTAAGACTGTTCTTTGTTTATTTTGCAGGTCAAGAGATATTACAGTACATTCCCCTACTATCTGTGTGTCCAAAACATGCTAAAAGAAGAATTTTGAAGATTTGTCTGTCATTACATGCAGACCTGAATTTCTGAACATTAATCTTTAAGATAAAATGGCTGACTAGAGCAATCAGGTATTTCAATTTCTCATTCCATGAGAGCAAAACTTTGTGATGTTCTCCAAATCTGTGTGGATAAACATCTTATTAACTCATTTCCATTATGAATTATGAATTTCTGAAGTTTGATATCCCAAAACTGACCAATTTATTACTAAAAAAGGGTGCCACAATTCTGTTAAATGAGTTATTTATGGAGTAATACTATTAAAATAATCAGATATTTAACTATATAAAATTCTTAATAATACATCTGACTTGATAAAATAAATCCAATAAACTTATACAAAACACTGACAAATTTTTATAGTCATGTGATATATATATGCAATAATAAAATAAAAACAAAAAATGATTTATTGACTTTTACATATTACTGTCTCATAAATCTAACATATGATTTTCTCACATATTATAAAAATAGTGGGTGTCCAGAAAAAATTTGCACAAGTTTGTGTAACATAGCTTTTACCTTTGAACAAAAAAAACTTTGAACTAAATAGTCATTTGAAAAGTGATGAAAAGCTGTATGTTATCTTTTATTTTTGTAATTTTACAAGTTCCCATCATCAAATACAGTGGATTTAACTTTGGATGTGCAATTCTTACAAATTAATCAACTAATCTGAGTTATTTGTCTTTCAACCATTTTTGTAAACAGCTGCATTGAAAATTGTCCAAAAAGTCTTGTTTGGCCTAATTTCTGACAGATCTGCAGGGCTGGCCTCCTTTTCAACAAAGTTGGTGATTTATTGTCACAGGTAATCCAGCACAGTTTTGGCACAGTGGCAAATTTCTTGGCTAGAAGACATTCTGCTTGAGAATAATTCTTTCAAATGTAAAGATCAAGTGACATCTTATACATTCATTTAAATATCACTGGGCATTGATAATAAAACACGACTTTCTGATTACGGATTAACTCAATCCTTTTGGTCCATTGCAATCCAAACCAAAACTTTGTCCTCAATTTTTTTTTTCTTGGAAAACTTTACTTTGGCAGCCATAGAGGAGATATCATTGGTATAAAATCCAGTGTTACCATTGATTGTCAGTGTGAAAGGGTGAAGTAAAATTCATCAAAAATGAGGACATTTTCAGAGAACTTTTGCAATAATCTTCCGCACTTCATCTTTGCACGTCTATTCTGTCTAGCATTACCTGCTTGTTTCAATATTTAAAATGTATTTTTGTCTTCAAAGCCTCATGGAGTCAACTATGAAATTTTCAGTTTCAAGACTAGATTCAATTGAAACCTTGTCAGTGTCTTTTATCTTCAATCCTTCCAATTTGACTTTCATTAGAATTTTTGCTTTTCTACAAGAACTCTTTCTCTGTGGTGGTAATCCACTCTCAAAATGTTAGAGAATGTAATATTTTGAAATTCCTTCATTTGCAAAATGATATTAGGAGAAAAGTTTATCATAAATTTATTTAATGTGTAGAAGTTCTGCAATCTTAAATGTAAAGCATCTTTTTTCACTGCCCTTTTAAAAGAAGCGAATTGAATGCAGAAAAGATTCTAGAATGATCTATAACATTACACACACACACTTAAATTACAGTATGTGCAGCGTAAATTAAAAATTATTGGCTGTTAGAGCCTGATATATTTTGTAAACCCATTATTAAGCACTATCACTCTTATGCTGAAATAAAGTGTGAGTGTTTATTATTGTTCAAATTATAAAGTGAGGAAAATGAAGAAATTTCATTTTCACATTAATTTCTATCAAATGAGAGATTAATGTGGAAGTAAATCCTTAATTTAATTGTTATGTTTATAAAGAAATGTAGAAAAATGATAATGTTTAATAATAATTATTATTATAGTTTAAATCACCTAAAATAAAGTGTTTATTATACACACATGTATATTTGTGGTCAACCATTATGAACTATCTTTAATTCTTTTCACATTAATCCATTTAACTTGCCTTTCTTCACTACTAAAAACAAATATGAAAACTCACTTTATTTGTATTCATGAATTAACTTTGTTTTCACCCTTACATCTGGGTATCTTAAGCCTTGACATCATTAACCTAGCCACACAGCTATATGAGGTAATTTAAATCCTTGTCACCTATAGAATGTGATGCTACATTAATTTAAATTCCATCTGCCTATTTCTAAAGATATTTATTAATTTGCTCTGAATTCTTTTAAATTGTATGATTTTTTTTGTCTTATCATTGATTGTTCATTGAGTTAATTAGGCCTGCTATTACTTAGTTATTTAATATAAAGGATCATTATAAATTGCAACATGTGGTGAGTGTTACGAAGTGACACAAAATGCTAGGGTCATGCCACTGAAAGTGGTCAAGGACGAAGTTTATTATCTTGATACAACAACAACAAGTGGTATAAAAAAGATTTAAAACAAAGCTTCAGAGAATGTACCTTTGTTTATGATAAAACCACATTTATAAATTTACTAACACTATTTTTTCCCAACAGTACAAATCTATCATTTCAAATTAAATTACACTGTTAAAATTAAGCTTAAATTTTCTGTTGTTTAGGAAAGTATGTGTAGGAAACATAAAATATAAAGAAAAAATTATGCACAACTATATTTAAAAAATAACACTCACAGACATCGACGAATCCATCTGTATAATTAATTACTTCATTAGTTAAAATTATAAAATTCAAAATAGTTATATCAAAAAACCGAATGTGAATACTAACATTAACTTTGAACCTCCAGAAATCCAGTAAAATGGCAAAATTTATTAGCAAAACAAATGTTTCTGATCATATTTACTCCATTTCTAGTGGTCTGTAGTTAATGTTAAAATTCAAAATTTTAATGTTAGTTATTATTTAACTAATGTTACAACACCAAGATTGTAAAACTTTATAAGCTCACATATGACACCAAAGATAGTACAGTACAAGGAAGAAATCGTATCGTCTTTCGATATTAGATTTTTTACTTGACGAATTAAATACACACGAGTATTTTTGACATTTCAAAACCTCTTCCGCAAGTAAAGAAAGAATATATAGAGAATAAATATTCTTGCATTTGTCTAACGTAAAGAGATTTTAAAACTATTATTCAAATTTTACCCATTTTTGTTCACTCAAGGAAGACAGCTCAAAATGTTGAAGATATTTGTATTTAATTCATAAAATAAATAAATAAAGGTTAATGTTACCTAAGGTGCCAAAATGGCGGCACTTTGGTTAGGTTCATTTCTTTTCCATTAGATTAACTACATTTTAGTAGATGTTTCTTTTTTTTTTTTTTTTCTTTGTTCAAGAACTATCGTGCATCAATAACTAGTGACGTTAAACACACAGCAGCTCCCCTCTGGAAGGTCAGTCAGGAGCACAAATAGTTGGAAGTGCGGCCATTTTAGTCACCATAGGTAACATTAACCTAAATAAATCTAACATCGAAAGATTACCATTTCAGTAAGATGTAAACTCTAAATGAGGGGTTTCCCCATCCCAGAATTGTAAATCCCCCTGTAGGAGAAACCATACTTGTGTATGCAACACTGCAATATATTTACCTCAAAAATATTCAGACCGTATTGGCTGTTAGCAGTGATGAACTAGACAAGCTAGCCATCCTTGCTGACAAGGTTCTTGGGCATCTTGAACTTCTATCGTAGGTTCCTACCCAATGCGGCCCATCACCAAGCTCCTTTGCACGACCTACTTAAAGGAGCAAAGAAAAACGACCAACATGAGATTAAATGGACTGACAATTCTATTCAGGCATTTGAGTCATGTAAATCACAATTAGCAGAAGCCACCTTACTACACCATCCCTCACCAAGTGCTACCCTTGCACTTCACGTCGATGCATCTGATTCTGCTGTGGGCGCTGCCCTTCATCAAGTTACAGCACAAGGTCTCCAGCCACTGGCGTTCTTTTCCCGCAAGCTGAGTAACTCTCAGCGTCAGTATTCTGCATACGACCGAGAACTTCTGGCTGTGTATTTGGCTGTGAAACATTTCCGATTTATGCTGGAAGCACGACAGTTCACAATTTACACAGACCATAAACCATTGACGTTTGCTTTCCAGCAACGACACGACAAATGTACACCCCGTCAGTTGAGACATCTCGACTTTATAGGACAATTCTCGACAGACATCAGACACATAAAGGGAATCGATAATGTTCCAGCTGATGCTCTCTCCCGTATTGAATCAATTAGTAGCCCATCTATAGATTATAGCAAAATTGCAAAAGACCAACAGCAAGATCCTGAGCTCCAGTCTTTCCTGACTTCAAGTGACTCATCACTTGTACTTAAGAAGTTTAAACTTCCTGATAGTGATGTCGAAATTTACTGTGATGTATCGACAGGTCGCATTCGTCCATACATTCCACCTAATTATCGTCGCACTGCTTTCAACACTGTCCATAACCTGTCCCATCCAGGTGTAAGGGGCTCAACCAGATTGGTAAAAGCAAAATTTGTTTGGCCGTCCATCAGTAAAGACTGCCAGACATGGTCTCGCACCTGCATTTCTTGTCAGCGGTCGAAAATCCAGAGACATGTCGCTAGCCCTTTGGGAACCTTTCCTATTCCAGACGCTAGATTTTTAAACATTCATATTGATATTGTTGGTCCATTGCCACCTTCCAACGGCTCAACATACTGCCTCACAATCATCGATAGATTTTCTCGTTGGCCTGAGGCAATCCCGTTGCCAGATATAGCGGCTGAAACAGTAGCTTCAGCCTTATATTCAGGTTGGATATCTCGCTTTGGAGTGCCTGCCCAAATAACATCTGACCAAGGACGTCAATTCGAGTCTAGCCTATTCAAATCCCTCACTCAACTTCTTGGTGCCAAAAGAGTTAGGACAACAGCATACCACCCAATTGCGAATGGCATTGTTGAACGCTTTCATCGTTCACTTAAAACTGCCATCAAATGCCACTCTACTGACAGGTGGACGGAAGTACTACCTACAGTCTTGTTAGGATTGCGAACTGCGCTTCGTGAAGACACCAATATTACTGCAGCTGAAATGATCTATGGCACCAGCCTCCGATTGCCTGGAGAATTTTTCGTCCCAGGTTCTCAGGACATCAATCCATGTTCTTTCGTCGAAAAACTCAGAACGATGATGGCGAACTTAAAACCAGTGCCTGTTGTGCACCACTCCTATCGCAACCCATTTATCCACAAAGAACTGCACTCATGTTCCCACGTATTTCTCCGCAATGATGCTGTACGGAAGCCCTTGCAGCCTCCATACGATGGACCCTACGAAGTCGTGTCACGCGGTAGCAAGACATTCACTCTATGCATAAAGGGAAAAGAAACTGTAGTTTCTATTGATCGCCTGAAACCGGCTTTTATTCTCGCAGCGAGCGAGTCGGACCAGTTACCCCCAACGTCTCCAATGCCAAGACCAGCGACGACTAAACATACGACAGAAGATCGAGCCCCAACGCGACAAACTACCACGCGCTCTGGCCGACATGTATCGTTTCCCGTTCGTTTCGTGTCTCAGACACTGGTGGGGGAGTAGCTGTGGCCGCCAGCGCCAGAGATCCTGAACACTGTCTGGCAACACTTGCCAAGATCACGAACTCTGTCTGGCAACACTTGCCAACAAGAGTGGCTGGCAACGTCAAAAAAGAAAAGGCGCGAAAGTTCGTTGGATTTTGTCCGGGTGTTGCCCGAGGATGTCTGTGACAAGTTCTTTTTTGTTACTGTTCGTGTTTGCCTGCTTAATGTTAGATCTAAACATCAGTAGGATTGAATGACAAACCTCTAAAAGTCAATTTTTACCATGTATCAGTATACAGCTTATTATCCACCATCTCTGTCAGTCAAGGTGAGCGATAGCGAGCCAACCAACAGTCTATATGTAGTCATGCGCTTCAGTGCTAACTATCGCTCACACCCCGCACCCATTTGGAGATGAGTAAAAACTGAACTATCATGTATTTCTCTTTAACAGTAAAATGGGCTATTCAAAATAGTTAAATGCAATAGTCTTGACAGAGTGACGCAACTGGAAATTGTGCATAACCCGATTTTGGGGATATCTCGCAAAGGGTTACATATAGAGGTACGGTTCCTTTCACTTTTTTGCCAGTCTACTGTTTGGATAAGATCCCAACCGTCTCATTTGGAGGCGTAATTGTACCGCACAATTTCTTCCTTATACAACTCCAAGTTTACACACATACTGAAACAACATATTGAAAGTTAAATATGAATCAGTAATTGTACTTTTAATTCATATTAATGATACATCAATCATAATAAAAGTAATTTGTCTTTCAATAAATTCGATCATAATCGTGTAATTACTTAACAAATTAGAAATTTATAAGTATTAAATCCTTAAACACTTGTAAGTTTATATAACAAACGATTGGAGTGTAGATAACAAAATGAATTTTATTGTGTCTTCAGCTGATATAAACAATAAATGTACATTTTACTTCGTGTTTCTATCGATCTTTTCGAAAATAAGCATTTATGTATAAATTACTGTTCGAATATAAAAGACTAATGAGTTGCTATGGCAACGCTTTGTTTCATAGAAAGTAATGTTAACCCTAACATTAGGCTTAAAAAATCTGATACGAAATATCCACTAACCTGAAAAATAAAGTCGTAAAACGTACGGATATCTAAACTCGATGTATCAGACGAACGTTAAAACATATATTTCAACATTCTTGTAAAGAATTGCGTTCGTTAAAAAAGGAAACGAATATTCACAATAAAGATTAAACAGACGATATTAATCCAAAATGGCTTCTGGGCGGATGACGTCAACAGAATATGCGCGAACGTCCCTCCGCTTGCAACCTGGTGATTTAAATTTGTTTTTATTTTAATTTAAACAAAGATTTTTTTAAGGAAAATTATTATTATTAAACTACGTAAAAATATTTGTTTAAATATAAGTGTGTAATATTTTATAAAAATCATTTTATCCGAAAGGCGCTATTTTAATAACCCGCTCTAACTCTCGTGAAAATATTAAACGCTTATATATTTGAAAAAATCTTACTTCTTTTTAAAATTAAAAATAAACACTATAAATTAATATAGGTGCATTAATAGTGTATGAAATATAATAACGAACTGTTTATTTTATAGATCGCGAAATGTTTTCCCGTCGAGAAAAGTTAAAATCGGTTTTTTCCCCTACTCTTTCCGCCCAATGGGCACTAAGAGGGCCTCCTATAGCAGACCCATTATGGGTTTGGCCAGGTCCACAATAGGGCGACCGGGTGGTGAGAGACAGGACTACTCGACATATCCGAACGGACCACTCCCGAAAAATTCCTAACTCGTCCGGATTCGATCCCGGACTGGAGAGCGGTAAGCTGTCACCTTAACCATTCGGCTATCCCGCCGTCGATGTTAAAATCGGTTAATAAAACAAACATCATACAAAAAGTTTAAAGTAGTATAGTTAAACAATAACATGTTTCTTGTTCTGTTTATTTTTGGATTCATTAATTATCTAATATCTTTGGACACAAAAAAGCCTTTTAACTGGTTCAGTCTAATCGGCAATAGACCAACTTACAGAAGACAGATAAAGTCCAAATTCCCGTGGAAAATCGTAGAAATCTGTTTCGAACTCGAACTCGGACTCCTCGCTTATTAAAATGGCAAAAGCGCGTCGTTTTTCCTTCTTATTAGCACCCATTCCTACTCTCAAAATTAAGCTTTTTGCCATTTTATATTTTTACGTTTAAATGGACCCACATTACATTTCTGGATTCCTCGTCTCGATTAATGGAAAATGGCAAAATTTTATGAAAATCGATCCATTAAATTTTGAGAACAAAGTCGATTCTATAACCCCAAACAAGACGTGCTAGAGATCGTGAAACATCTCTAGTACGTCTTGTTTGTAGTCGCGCGATTCGTGCGATATCGCTTTGTCGCGAAACGACCTTATATCTCGAAAACGAAGTCATGAACTCTTATTTTTTTATTGCATATTTGTATTCCGCATCGCAACTAATAAAAAATAGCAGAGTTTAATCAAAATCTATCGAACGAATTTTGAGAACGAACACATTTTTCATTCTCACAGAAGAAGCTTCACTAACGCTCTTCTTCAAATATAAACACAGCAAAAAATATACAGATATAAAAGTGTTTAATACTTCGTAAATGTAATAGCTTTAAATTGAATGAAAAAACAAATTTATGAAAAATATTTAGCTTCTGGTTTTTTTTAAAGAATTCATACTAGACACTTATGTTTTATACACCTATAACACTGTAGATAATTCCGTTTTATATGAATTCCATATTGTACGAGTCATTTAGATTTTACAAATACGTGTGCCGGGCTGTGAACGATTCACGTATTTGTAAAATCTAAGTGACTCGTACAACATGGAATTCATATAAAACGAAATTATCAACAGTGTTATAGGGGGGGGTCGACTGTATTTGGTACCAAATAATTTTTATAGGAAAAAATATATAAGCATTTTTGATCTTGTCTCTTATAAAGCATTTAAACGTAAAGCAGGACAATGCTGCAGAACAATCCGCCATATTGGAGACGGAGAGTACTCTGCTACGCGACACTCTGACAACGAATTTCTTTTGTGTGAGAGTCGTTAAACTTTTAGACCCTAACGCGCAATCTGACTGTTTAAGTTTTATTATTTTGATATTATTATTGACTTTGAATTATTAAACAATGAAGAATTGATCTGTCATTCGCCGTCTCAAATGAACTTTGTTGCGTCTATTCAAAAATTAAACAAATTCCTAAAAATAAAACTGAATGCTTATTTACTAATTTGATATTTTCATTTTCATTTTACATCGATTAATGTAAAATAGATTGCATACAGATTGCCCTGATTTAACACAGTTTGTAAAATAGATTGCCCTGATTTAACACAGTTTGGAATACATACCGGTAGTTGGTTCCACTTGTATCTACTACAATTTTGTATCCATCTTGTCTTTCCTTCTTTAACAGCTGAAAAACGAGTCATATTACGATGTTACAGTTTTCTGTAGCACAATATTCCATTAATAATTAAAAACAAAATTCGTAATATATTTTTCAAAAACAGTGTTTTATTCCCCCAAGTCTCTTGTTAAGATCGACCAGTTAAGATCCAGGATACTAAACACAGCACTTCATCAGGGAACGTGACGTGGCCTTATGTTTATAGACCTTGTAATAAGGAAAAATATCGATTTATATTTCTATTATTTAGACAACCGGATAACCGAGACGATAAAGGCACTCTGAAGAACCCAGATTTAAATTTTGGCGGGATAATCAGAAACTTTCAAGAAAATTTGATCAGGATGCGTCAGGCCTATTCTCTCGTCATCTAGTCTTTCCATTGTAATTTCATCATGAACGTAAACAATCTTACTACCCGCAAAACAGAAATAATTTTTTAAAAATTATATAAATTAGTTTATTTGTTTTCAATAGAGGTATTTTTTAAATTTAAAGAAAGTGACTTGACAAAGTATATTTTCTGAGGAAAGGACATTTTGCTATTTCATCAGTGAAAGCTGCCACTTCATCCAAAGTTTGCGAAGTGAGTCTTTTACGAAATAAAAATATTTAATTCTGTATTAAATTTGAAATCATTTGCTAACGTACTGTTTCTTTTATTTTTTCAAAAATTCCCAACTTACATTATGATAGGTATAGGGAGAAGGAGGTATTATGGAACCCAGCAGGTATTATGAAACCCTGCACATATTATGAAACCAGTAGCGTAGCGTAGTGGGGGCGGCAGGGGCGGCCCGCCCTGGGCGGCACTTTTAGGGGGCGGCAAATTTCACAATAAATAATAATAATATCTTGTAAAAATTTGAACCATTTCATTTCATATTTTTGTCCCATCTACGATTAGGACCGATTGAAATGAGCACGGAATTTTTCATTACTTATTCTGTGACAAAACTGAATTTTAGTCTTTTAAATTCAGATACCTAAATAAGGGGGAGAAGGAAAATTTCGCCGCCCCGGGCGGCTGACACCCACGCTACTCCACTGTATGGAACACCCATTTCAAACTGATAATAAAGACGAACTGTAGCGGATTGTGGCTGAACTGCAATAGGCATAGCAAGGGGAAAACCCGTTTCACTTCAGTTAAATGGTTGTCCGTAGTGAATCAGCGTATTTGTGTTTTTCGAAATTCGAAAGTTTTGAATGCTATGTGAATTTAATTATTTCTAAAATATAAATCGTGTAGTTGTAGGTTCACTGGTGCATGTATTCCGTTCCAGAGACTTAGGGGTACATATTGTTCTGTGTGATGTTCACGTTTTTTAAAATTTGGTCTTGACGGACATAAGCTAATTCGAGATGGCGATGCGTGAAATACGTATCCCATTGGTACTTTTAATATGGAACCCGTCTAACTTTTGTAAAAGTATGTAGTAGATGAATGAAAAAATAGAAGGAAAATGAAAAAAAGTAAAAATAGATACCTAACACTATTAAAGCATTATATTTGTGATTTTTGTAAATGATTAGCTTCTTCTTTGTGCATTTCTTTATTATTATTATTATTATTAAATCATTTTTGCGATAAAATACACTGGAGTAAATAATTTTGTAATTATCTAACTTGCTTTGTACTTTCCTATTTGATTTTGGATACATTAAGGCATTTTTTGAAAACATACAAGCAAGGTTCCATATTACCACCCGGTTTCCCCTAAGCCTACTTTCTGACTTTTTGTACAGAAGCCTTCAAAAATCATACTTATAGTTACACTAGCGAAAAATCCAATTAGGAACATTTAATTTAATAGTTACCAATACTTTTCGCACAAAAAATGTGGGTGTAGTTATGACACCTTGTTTACAATTCACTATAATGAAAATGGGGTTCCATAATAGCACCTTCTCCTCTATAATTTCATGTTTGTTTAGTACAAACGTTGAGATTCCGATTTTGATCTGCGTTGATAGTTTCCGTGAGGACTTTTGCTCTCTTTTGTGTAAGTTACTTCTGTAATTTTACATTTTTATATAGTAATATATAAAAATATTCCAGATTAATGTATTTTTACAAAAATAGATATATTTATATTTCCGGACTTCACGAATGTTTACCACAGTACCACAGTATAATGAGTCATAACGCTATGTTTTATTGAAATAGACTTTAATTCAACGCGAATCTACATCTTATATCAATAAAGATAATCTTTAAAGGAATCTACCGTCTCGATTTAGTTATAGTAGTAGTTTCAAAGTTAAAATTAGTGTCTCGAGAAGGTGTCAAGCCGTGACGAAATCTAGAACATCTAGAAAGGACGGGCTCGTTCAGCAACAAAAGAAAAAAGAAAATTGAACGACATTCGCAGACAGACCATTGCTCTGACAGCCATTGCAAGATATTCATACTATCCACGCCAGAGCCAAGTAGATGTTTGTTCTGTTAAGTTATGGCAACGCAACACTTGGGCGATCTGCGTAGGGGAATGACTTCCCGGAGGTCTTTTTAAAGATAACTGGCCCCTATTCAGACGTTACAGAAATGGAGAAAACCCGGGAAACTCCACGTCGTCAACCCGTCCGGACGAGGTGCGAACCCACTTATTTATTTACCCCTTCCATGCTAGAATTCTAACCAGTTCATCCATCCTATTTTTAAATAATTCTTTCCGCATTATGGGCCCTAAGAGAGCACTTTTTAAGCAAGCCTACTATGGGTTAGGCCAGACTCACAATGGATCGGCCAGCTGGTGAGAAACGGACCCGATGTATCGGGACGAAGTACCCCCGAAAAATTTCTGTTCTTTTTCGACCGTTCGGAGTTGATTCTAGGTTATACAGAGCGGTAGGCTGCCACCTTAACCGCTCGGCCATTCACCTATCAGCCAGCTGTTTTCTCTATTAATTTCTAGTGTCGTCATTGTTTTTGTCTCGTCGTTCGATTTGCAATGCGGCTGCTTGTGCTGGACTAAATTTGTTTTTAATTTGAATTAAAAATATATTTTTTATAATGATCATAAAATTTTGATGATTACATCATTCACTACATTTACACACAATTAGTCTAACTTGCTTACACAGAACACTTGTTACCTCCGCCCACCTAGCCAGATTACTTAGCATTATACATTACCGAATACGTCTTGGCTTCATAATTATAGTTAAGCCACTGATTAAATACGGTATGTATTTTATTCAAAGTGTGTACGACTTTATTAATTATAAATAATGATAATATTTATAATAATATTTGCTGTATATGTTATCATAAATCTATATTACATATATAAATATATATAATATTTATATTATTATTAATATTATAAATCGAAAGTTACGAAAGTGACTCCGCTTTATGTAAAAAGTCACTGACGGACTATACATACAGGAATCAGAATTGCCGATTTTCGAGGTTCGCTTTCTTTGCCCCCAAAAGCCTATAGTAATTCTGAATATCTCATTAGAAAGATAGTTGTTTTTTTCGGTAGTACGAAAAATTTCAGATTTTTCCGTAAAGGAGTTGCCGAAATATAAACAATTGAAAAGTGCAAAAACAGCCAAAAAAGCTGTATTTTCTTTTCTTCATCCGACACTGCAGAGTAGATGGGCTCTCTGCAGTGTCGGATGGGAAAAACTCACTCGGAGGGCCCACTAGTGACCAAGTGATTCCATTTCCCGAATACTGGGAGTTTGGTCGTAGGTTTGTGCCTTGCTCGGAAGGGCTGGCCACGTGGAGTTTACTGAGTTTTCTCCACCTCTGTAACGCCTGATTAGGGCCCTGTAACGCCAGTTACCCTTAAAAAGACTTCTTGAAAGGCATCTTCCTAGGCAGATTGCCCAATCGCGATTCCGCTTTACGTTACGCAAGTACGCAAGTAACGCAATATTTGCGTAACGTAATAAATTAATTCTCACTGTGGTGTAAATACACCACAGTCAGAATTAATTTATTACGAAAAAATTTGCTACTGTTCGTTTGTTGAACGTCAAATTTGTCTTTTGTCTAATGTTCATTGTTTATATTATATCTTTAAAGGGTGATTATCGTTCATTATTTTTATCAAAATATTTAAAATTATACAGTACATTATAAAAGTTATTCTACGGAATATGTAGACTTTCGTTCTTAATTAACTTCTTTTAATCTCAAGATTTTCCTGCTGAATTTTCAATCTCTTACTCGAATTTTTTTTTGTTTTGTATTATTTAATAAAATTATTCATTGATTTTTAGAAATAATTTAAACGTTTTATATTAGAAAATTTGTAATATTTCATTTTACAATTAACGTTTATCTTTGAAATGTTCCACAAAACCAAACTTAATTTTCTCCATAGGCATCCTTATGTCTTGTTTATAAAATCGTACTGCCCAATGTTCTTACCAGCATAGAGGTATGAAGGAGTACATGTTGAGAGTTGATATTTGGCACAGAGTATTAGGTGCCCAAATCATTTGCGCATAAAAAATCCAGACTCGTAGGTAGTCGAGGGAACGAGAATCGAGTCAAAATAAAATACAAAATGGCGACCCTCTTCTACAAACAGGCAAAACAGCCACCTCACCCCATCGAAGTCAGGTAGGGGAGACTACCACCCACAGTCATTCTAAGAAGTGAACTCTGACGTTAGGACCGAACACGTAGTTTCTTCTACGTTAAATAAAATTTGTAATGTAATTTTGTAAATTTGGGAGTGCTTCAAATATGACGTTAAAACGGTTTTATGTCGTTACAAGTGGGTTTTTTTTTAACATTATCTAGTATAGTAAAATCGTAGGACCGATAAAAAATTTGACGTTATATTAGGGTTGTAGTTACATTCGATGACATTATAATCGGGTTAAACTGTATGTTTGTGCAAAATAAAAAAATAATTTCGGACGATACAATAGCCACGATTATTTTTTCAAAAAAGGGAACTTTTCGTTACTCATCGACAAATATTCAACCCGGGCCGACACGCAACGGAGAGAAATTTTGAAATTGGATAGGTTAATTTCATCGAAAATATATCGTGGCCAGCGAAGTTTGAACGATCGCGCCCAAAAGCAGCAATATCAAAGAAGATAGAAGAATGAGAACGAGACCTGCCTTGAGCATCAAAGTGATTCTGTCTCCGAAACATAGTCTTGTCCCAAATACGGTTTTGCCGTTTTACTTGTTTGGTTTTCACGAGATTTAAAGAAAAAAACCTAACCCCAACGAATACCAAGAGTTAAGTGTATCTTGTGTAATTTGAGTAAAGTCTTTTGAATTGGTAGTTTAAATCCATCAACAAATTATCATCGTCAATAAAATATTAGTAAACTTTTTGTAGCCTGATTTAACAGATCCGCAATGATTTATTCGAACGTTAGCTAAGAAAAAAATGCTATTCATAAGAAAGATGTTTTCTTTACGAAAAAGATTTATTGAAAATTATACATTTGCAACATTTTCATATGCACAATGTGTTATTGAATGTTTTCCTTTTGTAAGTACATTTCTGAATTGAGCGTAGTCATGATCCCATGTGCCAGAGTCGCACGAATATAATTTATAAATTCCATGAATTTTAGACAGTACGATACAGTTAACTTTAGTTGGTTCTCAACTTATCTGTGGCTTTCCATTCGTAGAAATCTGTCAAATACAGTACATAATATTTTTATTTACAACTGAATGAGCTGTTAATATTCGTAAAAACAATTATTTTAAGATATATTAATTAAATACAGCATTTTTTAAATTTTAGAACGGAATTTATAGTTTTGAATTCCAATTTCTCAATTTCACAGGTAAATCCATGTACAAGTACAGTACTTTCTCCAATGTTCACGTAATCGAAGGAAAGTAGAAAATCCTTCAAAACATGAAGTCTCACGACAGAATATAGACTTTTCCTCCACCAGGATTTGCCTATGTTCTAAACCTTCATGCTTGTTAGTAAGATTTCCTTTTGAGAAGTGCTTATCGCAATAACAACAAGTATTTTATAATATATCAATGCAATATTTTCCATAACGTAGCGGGAATACTTCACAACCAATTATCGATGATAAAGTATGGTTTTAAATTTAAAATATCGATAAAAAATTCCAAGCACACCGTACAGTATGAGGTATACGCTAGCTGAACGTTACAACACTAGCGACGTCTCGTGATAAAAACCAGAACTACGTCTACGGAATCGTTCTGTAATTAGACGCCAGTTTCGAAAGAGTTAAACTCTGCCATTTTTCATTAATTGTGACGAGGAATACAAAAATGCAATAAAAAATGAAGGTCCACGACTTCGTTTTTGAGATATAAGGTCGTTCCTTCAGCGCGCGTGACAAAGCCAAATCGCACAAATCGCACGACTTTGTCATGCGATTTTTCGCGGTCGCTAGTACGTCTTGTTTGGGCTTATAGAGTCGAGTTCTTTCTCAAAATTCAATGAACCGATATTGATAAAATTTTGCCATTTTCCATTAATTGAGACGAGGAATCCAAAAATGTAATAAGGATCCACTTAAATGTGAAAAATAAGAATTGAGGGGTTTTCGATATACAGAGGAGTTAAACAATGCCCGTGCTCTCTGATGAGACTGAGTGTGCCTAACGGAATTTAGTCCTAGAGATAAACAGCATTGCATAACGAAAAACAGGCGTGAAAAACTAACAAAATACAAGAAACAAAACGATGAAGACTGCTTTGTTCTTGGATCGCCTCAAGGTACCCGGCCAATGCAAGGATCGTGACTCCCGTAGCCAGCAGGTACGAGGATCGCCTCTTCTGTACATAACAAATGCAGGAATAGCTTCTTTTCTTCTGGCTCAGCCTCCATTCTATCGCGATACCACAAAGTCATTGCGATGTCCTAGTTTCCCACTAAAGATGGAATATTGGAATGCAAAAATGGAGGCCAATTCAATTCCAGAAAATTCTCGTTGTTTCCGAAAATTAGTATTGTATATTCGAATACTTTCCGAATGTCATTCTTCTCTGTTCATACGACAGCGGAGAAGACATTGTGTACCAAGATGTTTCATCCTTCCGTCAGAAATTCTAATCGTGTTACACTCAGGGATCAAATAGAGGTGGAAAAGATGGACGGCTGCACAAGGAGGCAGATTGTCAGAAAATTGTCCGAAGAAAATAAAAATAAAACATTCTTAATTTCAGATTATTATTTTCGAAAAGTAAAATAACCGATTAATTAACTAAATGTGTGAGGTCCGAGCCCTCAGATCTTTATATTAAAATTACACAATGCCTATATTTAAAAGAAGCAGCAAATAACTACCTTGCCCAGGGCGGCGTAACTGCTAGGTTGGTACCTCGTTACAATAAAACAGAAAGCAATTTATTCTTTGATCTGTCTTCTGCAAGAATTTTAAAATTCTAATTAACAGTTAACCCCAATATCTGTAATTATCTACAATATTAGTCACCTTGTTCTCGAGCCGGCAGGATCCAGTGTTGCACAGTCGGTTGAACCGGCCATGGATCCCCAATGGGGGACCCAGAATCGAATCCAAATGGGTCGAAAAACCCCAAGCAGCTTATGAGGAGTGGTTTGTCCAGATACATCGGACCCCGTCCCTCACCACCAATGGCCGGAATCCATAATGGGCTCGATATAAAAGATCCTCTTAGAACTCAGGAAAAAAAAGCAAAAAATTGATTATATTAATTAATTATAATAAAATATATTAATGTTTATTCTATGGCATTTTATAAATATCTTAATAATTTCAAATTATATAATTACAGCCTAAAAAAATAATTTTTTCCCCTTTTTATTATACAAATTTATTTTTGTGAGAAAAGCATCATCTGCAGGAACTCAAGTAAATAAATTTTTTATGATAATTTTTTTAATCATAGTTCGCTGTAAACGATGATAATAATTTAATTATCAATAAATTTATTTGATAGAAAAATTAGCACTAATGTAGGGGCCATTTCCCACCGAAAATCTTTGTGGAAGGCAAAAACTTTAGAAAGAAGTCATTTAGAATGAATATTAAAGCAAAAATCTTTTTCATTTATTCAAATAGAATAATATAAATCTTTTTAATGAAAAATAACGATATTTTTTCTCCTTTGAACAGATTCACTTTCTTCTTATCAAAGCCTATTATGGATTTTAGCCAGGAGGCAATGGAGCCTACATATAATTGTGCGTGTTTAATTAATAGCACATTAACGATGTAAAGGGGGGAAAACGAAACATTTTCGACGTTAATACAGTATTATCATAACATTTAACGTATCATTGATAATTCTTTTTAATTATTTACTATCTGTTAAAAGAGTTCGTAGCACCGAAGGCATATATATACCCCTCTCTGCCCCTTCCTCTCTATACGTAAGAAAGTGAATCTCTAATAAATGCGTAAAGATATTCTTATCTTTTACGTCAATTTGATAAATTAAAGATAAATGCATTTAAATTCAACTTATGTTCAGTAACAGGTGCAAATACAACTTTCTTCTATCTTAGTGTAAGTAAGTTTATATAATCAGAACAAATTTCGTGTATTTTTAATAGATATTTTTGAGTGAAATTGTTACTAAATAGTGAATTTTGCCTAAGATAAATGAATTTATTACTATTTGTTTTAAATTTATTTTTTTAAGAATTAATTCTCGTGAATTGTATAGTCTACATATGCTATATTAATTCGTAGCGTAAGCAGATATTAAGGGTTCTGAATTTGAACGTGAAAACTTTGTACCACTGTTAATTTAGCCGGTTACATTGTGGATAAAGAATAAACTCAGCTATTGTATACATACGTAGTTCTTTTCTTCATTTATTTACAAAGGTAAGAGGAAAAACTGGGCTACATAGACTTTCAGTTACGCTACTGATATACATATAGGCCTATGTATTTATTTAATTTCGAATTTATAGTTAACAAAAATAAATGAAGGTGGTAATTTAATGAATACAAATTTTTAGGCATATGTAATTTGTGAATTCTACTTATGCAACATTGCAAATTTTCTGCTTGACTTTTTATCATTTTTATTAACAGAGTTTATTAACCTACTAATCTATTTTTAAAGGTAAGCGTACTATTATAAGATGGAGATGATCAATAGCCTTCTATTCCATTTATTCTATTTCTATATTTGCATATCGCCAAACGTTTAAGCACTAAATTTAACAGAATCGATTTATATAATTTTATTTATAATTAATATTACTTTTCGTCGTAAATTCTTGAGAAGCGTAAGTAATTGTTGTTTGTATACGGCAACGTGCGATCTGCCAAGGGGATGCCTTCCAGGAGACACTATTACTGGCCCCTATTTAGGTGTTACAAAAGTGAAAAAATAGGGAAAACTCCACGCGGTCAGCCCATTGGCGAGATGTGAACCCATGATTATCAGTGTTCAGTAGTTTTATTCCCCCATCCACTGTTTGGCGCGTAAGTAATGAACAACAAACAATTGTGTAAGGAGAATAATTCGAGACAATGAAGAAGGTAGATAGAAAGGAATGAGTTTGTTTCCATTATTGTTAACTTTTAAATGTTATTTGGTGGAAACATAATTCTTCACATAAATTACTAATAATTTCGTCAGAAAATAACAATGATGTAAGTATATTTTAATCCAATACTTTATACTAAAATACCAATCCACTGTGGTAAAATATTGATATAATTTTTCGATAAGTTAAATTTGTTTTTGAATCGCAATTTCAAGACTATATCAGTTGTCGCTTCGGTCCTAATGCACTAATAATAAACCATCTATTATATTTTTATTTTGTACTTAATTTATACTCGTGAGTTTAAATTCAAACTTGGGAAACAAACGTACGTAATGAGTTTTTTCTTCGATAATTTGAACACTGGTGGGTAATTGATTCAACTTCATCGAGTATACAAGTGTAATAGCCGAATACACGGATATAAGAGATATAAAATGTGTCGTAGCATTGATTAAAGAGACTGGAAGTCACTATACAGCTTTAGCAAAGAAAAAGTTGAGCATCTATCCAACTATTTCTTGAGAGAAAGCTTAAAAATGCAGAAAAGAGCTTTTTCAAATGACTCTTTAGAACCTTATAAAGTATACAGGTTGTATTGGCAATCCAGGTTTTCAAATCAGTGTGGCTGAATCAGTTGGCATTGGTCAGTCCAAGTTCTCAAAAACAATGGCTGATATAATAGTAATAATTACTGAGAAATGTGCGGATAAAATTTCCAGCAACTGGAGTCGATGAAAGAAGTAACAGGGATAGAGAATCGGAGTCGAGAAGTCGAATCTTTCTATGGGATCGGGAGTAAAAGTCGATTAAAAAACAATACCGATTCGGGCTCCCCATTGCTGAATGCGAATGCCGCCTGACAATGCAAATATCACTTTCAGTGCATAATTGAATTTACATACGCGTTCTGATAATGAAACCATGTTCTTCAAGGTGATGAATATATTAACCGAAAGGGGTATGCTGGTATCAATGATACTCGAGTTGATACTCAACGTAAGGACGTATATGATCCACTCGAATTATCAGTATAAACTTCATACCAATCTGAGTGTATACTTAAAGTATATTCTCCTGAGTTTAAACTGTTTTATTTAGGGGAGATCGGGGCAACTTCGGCATGCGGGGCAAGTTTGTCAAGCGCTTTTTTTAAAAAACAAATTAAAAGGAGACTTTGATTATAGGTTAGGCAGTTGAGTTTTATTGGTGGCTTGTTGAGTGTAGTGTTTTTATTGTTCTCCAACAAGCGTAGTTGAATTATCAAGCAAATTTTCATTTTTGTTGAATTCCATATAATATTTTTTTCCATTTATATTGAATTGGCAGGTTTTGTTATAATTCCATGATAACGAAAGTTACTTTTCCTGTTAGAAGGATGTAACTTCAACTTATTCACGTGGCCAGATCGTGGCTTGGCATTCTGTTCTCAGGGTTGTACTTAATGTTTCGAAATCATGACTAGCGGGGTAAGATCGGCAACATAAAGCCACATTAGAAGCAAAGGATAAAAATCAAACAGATGATAAATGAAAACATGTTTGCATTTGTTATTCATGTATATATGTCTTTGAACTTGCATTTCGTTGTAATAATATTAAATGGGTGTTGGATTTGTATTTCTTTGTTTTAATAGTGAATTCCAACTTATACATTGTTAATAACATAATTTTATATACGTGCCTATCTTGCCCCATTACTGTTGCCCCTATACCAGGGGCAACTTTAATAAAAATAATTAAAATAATTACAACTTTACAAAAAGAGAGAAGTTGCCGATCTTGCCCCTATACCCGGGGCAACTTCGTCAATTTCTCTCTTCTTGTAAAGTTGTAATTATTTTAATTATTTTTATTTCCAAACTGATTTTAACCAGTTCTATAGTAAGGTAACATTCCAATAGACAATATGCAAAGCTTTTTTTTCAGTTTACAGCAGTATTTATTACACAAAATTTAAGTAAAGCTTAACATGCCGATCTTGCCCCGATCTCCCCTATGTCACCCATTATCAGTAAAATTTAACATAGTCTAAACTGATTATTGAATAAAATTACTTTAATATAATACCACTAATAATTAGATTTTTTGACTGAAACATCAAAAATAATTCACCGAAAAGGAGTAGTCTATTGTATAATAGAATGTATATATAAAGCTTGATCTTGTAACTGAAAATAAGATGAGGGAAAACAGATAGCCTATATTACATTATTTTCGAAAACTGCCTGTATTATTTTTAAACATAACGGTTAATTGCTTCCATAGATGAATGGTTTGATAGAAAGTTTTTAAACTAGCCTATTTTACCTATTTTTCGGTCGAATTATTTTTGTTATAATTGAATAAGTATTTAAAGAATTTTCCTTAATTTTTTTTTAAATATAAACTTTCATAAATGTAAGGAAATTTTATAAATGCATAGACACGAAATATTTCCTCAAATTTTATATGAAAATTAAAAACAATTTTATATTTACAGAAAGATGATTCACGATCGTAGAATACTATTTGTAGTCATATTATCTGTAATCATTCTTAATGTTGAAAAGTATGATTGCTTTCCACTTGCTGAAAATGGTAAATATAACTTTTATCTAAATTGTTGACTTAATGAAAAAATAGAGATTAATTAATTAATAATACTTGACTTATTACGAATTTTTAGATGTAAAAGATGCTCGAGTTTTCATCACAATATCTTCCTTACTTCGTCCCGATAACGTTACAAATCGGATTATTGAAAGGAACATAGAACTAAATTGGATCATTTTAGACGATGAATTAGTTCAAAATAACGATCTCTGGGTTGGTTTATACACCGAAGAACCAAACTCAAATTCAATTCCTGTAGCCAAAGTTTACATCAATGGAGAAGGGGAAGGTTCTTTTACAACCGACATCTCTTATCCTCGTTACATTTTAAACATAACTAAAGAAAACGATTACTGTATGGGATATTGGATAGCTTTAGTTAAAAATAATAATATATTAGTAAAAAATTGCTATTACGCCAGGCCAAATTGGATGTACGAAATGAAATATACCATTGGGTTTAACTCCTTATCTGATTTGATGATACCAGGGACACATGATGCAGGTTCTTACTTAAGGTAAATTTAAATTTTCATTATAAAAATCAGTTTTCTGCATTGTTACTATTCCTTTTATCATAGTTTTTTAAATCAATAATATAAAATACGGCATATCATACACCTATTTAATTTTTCTGACAGAATATATATTTTTTATATTAAAATTTTTATAGAGAAAATAGAAGTCAGGAAACATTCAAATCAGCTATGTTTATGTGCCAAGACGAAGACATTTGGAACCAGCTTATGTACGGGATTCGTTTTTTAGATCTCAGAGTTACTTATAGAAATATCAAGGGAAATCCAGAAGTGTTTTGGATAACGCATTCCCTTATCAGAATGAATTTAACCGTGAGAGAAGTTTTAAGGACCGTAAAAAAATTTTTAGAATCTACGAATGAAATTGTCATCATAGATTTTCATCGTTTTGTTTTTTTACTTAACGATGAACCTAAAACGTACAAAAAACTGATGGAAATGATCGAAAACGAAGTTGGACAATACGCGGTTCCTAGAAGTTATGGTTACAAAACAACATTAAACGAATTGTGGAAGGAGAACAAGAGATTAATCATAGGTTTCAACTCTTTTCATGCAGGAGAAAGCATTTTGTTCTTTCCTGGAGTGACACATCTTTGGGCTAAGACTGATAATTTGAGAAGCTTGAAAAGGTATTTTGATAATAACGTATGCTCTCAGCCCAAAAACAAATTATGGTCGGCAATGGCCGAATTGACGCCCCAATGGCCGTCATACTTATCGATATGGTCTAGGAGTCTTAGAGAAATGGCTCAAGAAGTTAATCTAGAAATAACGCGATGGTTCCGAAATCGTTTCTGGAACTGCGCTAATATTGTTTCCACCGATTTCTTTCTTGGTAACGATATTATTAATATAGCTATAGAGTCAAATAAAAGGCGATTTGACGTGTAATTCAATTTCTTATTTTATTTTCGAATGGAATTTAAACTAATGTCAAATTAACATAAATATTCAGGATAGAAGAAATATTTGTATTGTTTCCAAAATGTCTTTTTTATAAACTTAAATTCTTAATAAAATCTTGCAGTTTGGAATGCAAACTAAATTTTAAATTTACTTCAATTCTGGTCTATAAGTATACAGAGAATAAAAAGAATTTAGGAATTTAAAAATGGTCAAATATTATTGATATCTTATAGAGAACTTGCATGAATGTCATCGCTTCGCCTCCTGCTCCATATCTGTGCCGTACTGTTCGTGGAGGTGTATATAATTTGGCTTGCTTCTGAACGTTTATCGCGTTCAGAAGATGGCAAAACGTGCATTTTACTTTCCCGGCTTTGTTGTATCAATATATATATCAGAGGGAAATTACGGAAACATTTTTACAGTCGAGGGGATGGTGTATCATATCTCGAGTACGGTCGAACTTAATGAAGATTTTATTCCTCATTAACATTTACAATTTTTTTTTCTATAAAATTCATCTCTACTCTCAAAATTAAGCCTTTTGTCTTTTGACAATTGTGAGGTTTGCCGACACAAAGTGTAGATCGGGGACTTAAAAAATCCCACTTCACTGACACCACTATGAGGCTTGTCGATTGTATTCGATTGTCCGGACAATCGTGTGTGGGCATGAAATACTGATTGAGATAGGCTTTCCATGTTTTTTGCCGTTTAATTGATTATAAAAGATTTTCTTACAAAAGTGCTAATTCTCCGTTGCCACAATTCTTGCGGAGAGAAACCAAATAAAGTACGAAAGTTCCTTAGGCTGTTTTCGAGCCTGGCGTTTGGAACGTCAGTGGAATCATGCTTCACGTTCCAAACGCGATTGTCAAACTTCTAGGTTTACAAGATGGCGGCGCTGAACGTCGGATGTTCACGTTTTCGCTCTGAATTAATTTGTAATATTTAATTACAGTAGAGCGTCGTTTATCCGAAACGTCAGTTATCCGAAAGAATTCCAGTCGGCAAATTGAAATTTTCGCTAGTGCTGTGGCGCTGCAATCTTTGGCTATATCTTGGGCTACTCCAATATTTTTTTTGTTGATGTGTGTGTTTTAGCTGGCAGCACTGGCACTTTTGTGTGGTGTTTTTCTGAGGACTGTGTGTCAACGTGCGACTAAATATCCAGATGGCACAACGCGTTGATTGGTCGGCTGAATGACACCTACTGGAAATGTTGATCAATTAGCCTAAACTTTGAAGAGTTTTGAGAGCGGGCAGACGTTATAATTATAGACATTTCATCTAAAACTCGATAAAAGGCACTTATTTATAATTTCACTAGCTCTTGTGTGTATGGACATTAATGTTAAAATTATTGCAAAATTTTCAATTAAACTAAATTACGTGACATCAAAAATTTTAATGTTGAGAGAGTTTTAAACATTAAGAAGTAACTTTTATCTGTTATTCATTTCAATAAAGCATTTTTGTACATTTACTATAATAATAAAATACAGTTGTCCCTCGATAGTTCGACGTTTTTTAATCTGACATGCTCAGTAGTCCGACGCACTTCCCGTCAAGGTACCCGTCCCCGTTACGTGTCCGCTTGCACAGAAGCATGTCGCGATGTGAATCTCCCAATCCAATTCTTACTCGATGACACACATTTCGTGTGTTTTATGTGAGCAGTTCTGTTCGAACAGTTGGAGTAGAGAATATTGTAAGTTACTGCTAGCAAAACAATGCGAAATATGTAATTATTTTCGGTAATCCGGACACTTTNGAATATTGTAAGTTACTGCTAGCAAAACAATGCGAAATATGTAATTATTTTCGGTTATCCGGAAACTTTTGGTAATCCGACACCCCTTTGGTCCCATACCTGTCGGATTATCGAGGGACAACTGTAATCAAAAACAACAAATGTAAATTCCAAATTAAGTTTTTTTTTTACATTCTTTATTAGACAATACAGTATTTTTAACCTTACAAAAACTTGTATTTAATGTTTTATATACAGTAGAGCGTCGATTATCCGAAAGTCGGTTATCGGAAACGTCAGTTATCCGAAAGAATTCCAGTTGGCAAATTTAAATTTTCGCTAGTGCTGTGGCGCTGCAATCTTTGGCTATGTCTTGGGCTACTCCAATATTTTTATGTTTGTGTATGTGTTTTAGCTGGCAGCACTGGCACTTTTGTGTGGTGTTTTTCTGAGGACTGTGTGTAGTGCTGAATCGAACGGTTTTGATACTAGATTAGCTTCTAAAGTATAATTTTTTTTTTTTTTCAATATATTTATTTTGTTTGTAAAAAATAAAGAAATAATTTTTAACGATACAATAGCCACGATTATTTTAAAAAGTTTACGTTAGGCTTAACATCGACGAAAATTCAACGCAAAGTGACACGCAACGGAGAAAAATTTCAACACGGGATAGGTTAATATATTTTTTGTACATAATCGGTTATCCGAAAATAAGGTATCCGAACAACCCCAGTCCCCAATTGATTCGGATAAACGACGCTCTACTGTATAGCCTTTACATAGCCCAAAAATTTGGCATATCGTTTGGCGTGTTTATTATATAACGGGCGATGGTTGTTAATGTTTGTAGGTAATATGTGTGAACACAAGTTTGGAAAAATGTTTAATCACGATCGACAGTAAGATGCTAGAGGAACGAGTGCTAAACACAGACACCGACTGATGGAGAATGAGCGCAATCCGGGACTTCCCTTTTCCTCGTCACTCGTTATGCGAAACACCGCTCGTTAAGCGAATCATTTTTTACAATTTGTTTTGCTCGTTATGCAAAATACTCGTTAAGCGAGGTTCTACTGTAAATTTAAATTTGATTTTGTACTCGACTTTTTCAACAAAACACCAAAATGCTTTGGGCTTTCAAATCAAACGGCATAAGAAAGCTGCCCAGCAGCGACCGAATGAATAAAATGGAACAAGCAACTCTTCTCCTGCCGTTCGTCATTTCCAGACAAACGACTACACAGAACTCACCACGTGGAGGTGGCTGCTTCAGAGTTCCACCAAGAGTTTGAAAGAATGCTACTCCACAAATGACCAACATCACGTGTCGAGCCGAGTTCTCCATAACTCGCACAATGAAAATATTGATAATTACTTCTGAATACTCCAAATTCAGCTATTCGAAACTCACCGTATTATTACTATCTAAACTAATGGATGCAATATTACAACAACTAGTAATAAAGAAAGACAGAAATCCATAAATACACCTGGTTGTAACAAAATGCACGTTAGGGCCACAAAATTTAGTACAATCTCATACCGAACTTCATTAAGAAGAAGAAGAAGAAGACGAAAAAAAAAAAAAATACTCGCCATGTGCGGGATTTAATAAAGCGGGACACAGAAAGCCCTCTCCATCTCCGATCGGCCTTTTCACTCGAGCGGGCCTGAAAGAAACGGGAAACAGGGAGCCTTCTTCGCCTCTCGTCGGATCTCTGTCTTGGTCCTAGCGGCCTTAAAGATGCGGGACACAAAGAATTAGTTTGAGTAAAGAGTAACTCTAGTAAAAAGGTCGACGGGAGATTCTATCTTTTTACTCGAGCGGGCCTAAGAGAAAGGCGACACAGAGAGCCCTTTTTGCTTCCCGTACAGTACATTACTGAAATTTATTAATCGCAATTTTTTCGCGAAATCTTGAAGAAACGCGGAACTTTCGAACAAATTTACGTTTAACAATGATCACCTACAGTAGAAAAAGCCAACAATACATTCTAACAATTCGTTACGGATTGTTAGAATATATTGTTAAGGACGCGTGACATATTACGATCTCGTCATATTTTTACGTCACGTGTTATGTAAAAACATTAATTGGTTTGAAATATTTCAGAAAGGATTATTTTATTAAATTAATATTCATTAGAAACATTGTTTTTTGTTAAATATTAAAAATTATATATTATGCGATTTATCAAAATGAATATTTAAAAAATAATCAACAAATTATATACTGAATATTAAAGATTTGTATTTTCTTGATTAATGTTATGTATCTTCTCCAAGGAATTTAAATTAATATTCATTAGAAAAATTGTTTTTTGTTAAATATTAAAAATTATATATTANAAATAATGCTTTCTTTTTTCAAATAAATAAAATTATAGAAATGTCGAATCATTCATTTATTCTAATGTTATCTGTATTTTTGAAAATCTAAAGAGGAATTTGTAACGATTGTGGCCCTTTGCACGCCAAGTAACGCTACCAGAATATCTTAATTCACAAATTTCAGAAATTTTCGACAAAAGGTGTTTTTAAGCTTCGAAGTGGGTGAACAAAATCGTGCCCCTCACACACATTAACATCCATACGTACAGAAAGAATCCCAGTGGTTATGTTTTCTCGACGTTTCAAGGTCTAAGCCCAAAAATGTAAAATATTGGGAAGATCATTTTTTGACCGATCGCCATACTTTTCCTCTGTTATATATAACAGAGCCGGGAAAGTAAAAAACAAGCTTAATTATGTGAAAACCCGAACTTTTACAAAAATCTTTTTTCGATTTCATCATACATATTTTGACAACTAACGTTGTTGTTTATCCTTTACTGCCCGAGAACTTGTCAGTTTGCCCGTTCTCGGAGGTGAAAGCGACGTTTTCTCTTGATCCTTTGACCTCCCGGCCGTGCTCTACCGTTTTAATATCGGAACTGACAGCCCAAAGCCCAATGAAGCAGTCCTCCCCGACTCAACATGTCGCCACCCGGTTCTTTGACGAAAGTCGTTGCCAATTAACTTTGTGCCTCCGAAACGGATATACGATTGATTCTGATCCGAAACACTATCCAGAACTCTTCTAACGTGCCAACTTCCTGGTATAGTCAACCTTCCTTCCTAAGGGACAGACCGAATCCACTCTTGCATCAGGTCTACAAGCGGATCCTTCAAACTACTATAGATATCTCCACGCGAATCTTATGTAAACTCTCTCTCTCGCAACCACTTACGATATCATTGATCAGTTAATTTAAAACGGAACGAAAAAGTCACAAATATGGTGCCGGGCAAAGTCCAATACGTCATACGCAAGTTGTTTATATGGAAAGTAGTTACTTTATAACAGTTGAATCAAATATAGAAATGGCAGAATGGTGAAACGGTTAACGCATCAGCCTCCTGCTCTGGAAATCCGGAAGCGAACGTGGAATGGTCGAATAACTAGAAATTTTTCTGAGGAGATCTGTCGACCGGATATGTCGGCCACGTCTCTTACCCCCCGACGCCCCATTGTGGGTCTGGCCGAATCCACAAAGAGCTTGAAAAGGATTCTCTTAGTACGGACAAAGTGAAAACAGTAAAAAAAATTCTTCAAAATTTCGTCGGCTTCAATTGAAATTAGAGTACAGTTTTCGAAAGGCTGATTTAGTCGGATAGTTGCAATTTTTATTATGTGCAAAAGTCGGCTTTGACGTAAATTGCTACCAAGAAAATCATGCAGTGTTCGCTTTTCTTAAGAGTTAACTTAATCTGTTAGAATTACTCGGCTTTGTGAATTTCAGTTTCTAGCAACCCGTATATTTAACTTTTATTTTAATTCAAACTCTGGTTTTAGAATACAACCGTCAGTCTGCAGGAGGGAAAAAAATCTTGGAGTATAATAAAAAAAAATTTCATTTTGTACATTTTATTATTGCATGCAAAAATACTAATAATTAATTAATAATTAAAATAGCTAAAGTTAGTTTTTGAATTGAAAAACATAATTAAAATAATTAATTGATTAATTCAACATTAGGTGGCGCTTACTTGTCCGGTGCTAAAAATAAGTCACCGGAATTACAATTACGTACACGAAGAACAACCCTTGTAGCAGACAATAATAAAATATTAAATAAAATTTATTAAAATAATATATATATAAACATAATTTTAATCATATAAATCCCTCAAAACATAAAAATAACATGAAAACAATCGTATAAATTAATTTTTCATTTTTTGCATTAGAAATGAATAAGATATATAATTGTTAAAATAATTTTCTATTAAAAATATATAGTAATTTTCAAACGTTTTAAACATCTACAGTAAAAATTAAAAATAAATAAAATAAATATAAATTAATTCCTTAAAATATATTACAAAAATAAAATAAAATAAAAATCTGAATAATGTAGAGCGCATGCTCTAAAGCGCTACCGTATTTATGGTAAATTACCGGAGCTTGACCTCTCGTCAGGACGACGAGATACGCCGGCAACCATGTTGGGTGTTTTTGGTCGAGTCTGTTCTTCGGTTCTTAAATCTAGTAAACCCGGTTTAAATTTAATAAAATTACAAGATTCATCGTCGAAACTCGTCCCCTGTCTATATGCCATACGTAAGTTGCGTTGGTAAAGAGCTCAATTATGCATTTTTTATAAAAGTTTCCGATTTAACCATAAGGTATTGGTGGCCGCCATTTTGTATATGGATGCAGGGGGATTTTATTTAAAGGATTTAAATCGAAGTATCGACCGAATACGATTAATAAATATAAAAAAGCTGTTTATGAATCGTGTAGATATGTTTATATTAATACAAGCTGTAAAATATCTATATGGAATATTTATGAGTATTTATGTATGTGAATTACAGTATATATCAAGAACCTTTAGTATTATAACTAAAATATCTTTTGCGGGGAAGTTTTCCATTATTTTTGTAATATGGCAAAATTTTCCATTCAGTTACTGTTTTTAGGTTGTTATATAAGTCTATTTTGCATATTTATTATATTTTTGTGCATATTTTAAAGTTTCTATAGACTTTTTTTTTCTAGCACTACATTCAAAGTAGCTAAAGGAATATGAAAAATGAAAACAGGTATACTGTGAGGTGTTTTGAAAATGAACTTCCAGGCCATCTGGTTTATTTTTTGAAATGATTTTTCTCTGGTAATTTGAGTTGAAATTAGGTTTAAAAAGATTGGTAAATGTTTCTTTTTAGTTATTTTATTTATATATGTATATATGAGGTATGTTCTGAAATGATTTGTGCTTGGCTTGTGTGAGCATGTTATTTGGTATGTGAATTAATGCACTTGAGATTGTTTGACATACTCCCCTGCATTGTTTGGTATGTTACCATTTGTCTGGCAACTTTGTGATTATGTCATGGAATAATTCCTTTTGGATATTGCTCTACTACTCATGGAAGCCAATTAATTTTTCTGAGCAATAGGAGTCTATTGACCGTAATCAAGTCTGAGATTCTATGAATTTTGTTGAGTGTTTGGGATTTATAGCCATTAAGTCGTGTTCATAATTTAGTTTCATTGCCCCTGCAGAACCCCTAAAGCCAGTTATAAACACCTCTCTATGCAGCTGCTTCCTCTCTATAAACTGCTTGCAGATGTTGAATTTCTATTGGTGAGACCTTTTCCTACCACTGGAACCAAATGGTTCACCTTAGTTTGATAATCTCTTTCCAGTTTTTTTCTTTGTGTTACTGCATCTGATTATAGTCTGACATATCTTGTTCCTGGTACATACTGATTCTACCTGCCCTCTAGAGTGTAGGTCAGGGATGAACATCCTTTTTAGCATGTTCCACTAGTGGTGAAGTGCTTATGTTAGGAGTTTTGTGTCTGTCAGATGTGCATATGCATGTTCCATTCAATCCATTTATTGTGCATGTCCATGCAATGCATAAAAGGAAACAGAACATTTTTGTTTATGGTCACTGTAAGCTATAGTAAAAACTACCCAGTTCCTCTGGAATCAATAAATTACATCCCTTACTGTATATTCAGTGAAAAATTCTTCTGAACAACTACTTGATTCCAAGAATTTATAAAATTTATTTTAAACAAAATTAATATTTGATTCACTTTTGTGGAGCATGCTATCAGATTGGCTTGATCAAGCTTGTTGGATATTGGCCACAAGTGAACTTCATAGACTTCCAGTGGGTAGCATGCATTTTTTCTTAAGAGTTACAGGCTTTTAACTCTGCTTAGTACAAACATATTCTATGGCTTCCTGTATACTAGCTACTCAAATATATGCTGACTTGTAATATATAGTTTATTCTTGGCTTTTTAATGGTTAAATTTAGTTTGAATGTTTTTGTCATGAATATCAACTTAATTAGGATTGCATAATGGCACAAGACAGAAAACAGGAAAGTAAAACTATGTTGAAGTCTTGGGGCTTTAAATTAGAACCGCGAGGGTTGCAGGTTGTTCACAATTCATCTATGTAATACTGAGTAATGACTGCAAGTAGTTAAACATGCAGGTAGTGCTGTTTTTGCACAAGACTACAATGACAAAAACAATTTTGGACAATGTCTTCTATATAGAAATGACTAAAGTTAAGTTTACTAAACAATTGATATATTACTGTAACTTTGTGTAATCAAACTAAAGTATTTTTGAATGATAACTTGTTTATTCTAGGACTAATTAGTAAGATAGATTATACTGAAAAATCCAAACATAGTGTTTGCCAATCTATGTTTGGATTTTTCACGCCAGATATTGGTTACGGAGTGTACATTTTTTGTCTTATATGACCTGGTGTGGGGGAAACTTTAGTTAGATTATACTTTTTAAATAATCAGCAAATAAGTATTTTAAGAAATTTAGATGTATATATGACTATTAAAATCAATCTGCGGAAATAGTTTTTGAGGGTCAGTTATATTTTAATCTATACAGATTAGCATTTGAGTGATGTTATTCAGCATTTCATTTCTGAATGGCAAATTGACTTTCTTGAAGATTGGAAAAATTTGTATGGTTGTATGGTTTTTTTCCTTAAATAATTGAATAACTTTCCAGCATTTTCTCATAATATTAATGAATTTTTGTAGTGTAATGTTTAAATTGTTATAGTATCATGACAATTTTATATAATTGAAATCAGGTTTAAGTATACTGTAATTTAATGTTAATGTGTTTATTAAATTTATTTTGTCAAATTCAATTGCTATTCAAACAAAATTAATTACAAAAGTATTTGAATAAATGATTTTACCATTTTTTTAGGAAAAAAAAAATTGTAAACTTTCAAGTACAGTATAAATTTACTTATATCATACTTGAAAGTTCAAAATGTTTTTTCTTGCATTTAATTTTCAATTTTACTTCAAAGTACAATTTCTTCCTCTTACGTTCAATTACTAAATTCTTACTCTGTTAATTGTTTTGAAGACTTCTTGTTGTGCCAATGGATATGTTCTTTGACAACGATATTCATTCAGACTTGTATTCAGTTCTGGATGCCTAAAGAAGGCTTAGTAACCAAAACTATTAGCATGTTTTTTTTATATTTACAACTTGAGTTAAGCATTTGATTCCATTTATATTTGTGAAGTGTTTTGGTTCTTATGCCAATTATTTAAATATTCACTAAAGAATTTTCATTCTTTGTTGATAAAACAAAAGTCCAGTAAAACATTTTCAATAAAGTGTAACAATCAATAAAATTTGTTTTGAAACTATTTTAAAATGAGTAAGGTTGGATAAAATATGACTACATCTGGTCATTGATATGCAACAAATTTTGCTCTATGTATGAGGGGTGTTCAAAAAGCATTGGACCTTTGGTTGGCAAAAATACATTTTGATACAATTTCATGGTGAACTCATATGTTTTTCTTCCAATTAGAAGTTCAGACTATTTACAAAAAATTAAATTTTTTGTAAATAGTATATTGAATAGTAATTGAAATATGCAAATGTAAGGATGACTCTTATCAACCTGATAAAAATTAGATAATTACTTGATGGTATGGTGAGAAGACTTTATTGTTTTTAATGTAAAAGACGTCAGAATCTCAAATAAAAGGCTGATGTTTTGATCATTTTTAATATTGTGAGTTTTTACCTATTTATTTTTTGTTTTCATTGAAGTTTTCTTCAAACCAATGTTACTGGTACTTCTGTGGTTGTGTTAATGGATTAATAGATACTCAAAAATTAAATTTTTTGTAAATAGTCTGAACTTCTAATTGGAAAAATACATTTATTGATTTTGAGGTACAAAACCCTAATCTCCTTCAAAGTAGTCTCCTTGGTAATGTATACACTTCTCCCAGCACTTCTGCCATTACTGGAAACACTGCTGGAATGCATCTTTTGGAATGGCCATCAGCCAGTCTGTCGCATTCCGCATGACGTCTTCTTTTGAATAAAATCGGGTTCCTTTTAGCGGCATTTTCAGCTTGGGAAATAGCTAAAAGTCACACGGAGCCATGTCAGGAGAGTACGGAGCATGACAAACCACAAGAACGTTGTGTTTGGCAACGAAAGTTCGAATCAGATGTGCAGAATGGGCTGGTGCGTTATCATGATGGAGCTGCCAAGTTTTGGTTGACCACAGATCCGGTCATTTGCGTCGCACAATATCACAAAGACGACGAAGGACCTCCTGGTAGTACTTCTTTGCAACGGTTTGGTCTTGTGGTGTGTACTCAGGATACACCACCCCATGGGAGTTAAAAAAAACTGTCAACATGATCTTGACATTGCTGTGGACCTGCTGTGCTTTTTTTCGCCTTGAGGATCGTCCCCAAAAGCCTGCTGAATCTTGTGAATGGTTTCTGCTTGGGTATCGCCAAGCTTTTGGCAAAATTTGATGCAATATCACTGCTTGTGTTGTTCAGTCATTTTCCAACTTAGTGAAATCCGACACACACATCCTCACTCATAGGCCGACTGCCAGTGACTGACACTTCCTGCAGGCGGGAAAAAATTCAGGACTGTGCATGACTGTCCCCTCCACAACTCCACTGAAAGAGACCTCCCATGCATCATTGGTTTACGCAAAAAAATATAAAGGTCCGATACTTTTTGAACACCCCTCGTAAATAAGTTTATATTAAAATTGGCATGCTAACAAATTTGAATATCAGCAAATTCATGCTTTTCTATATTCAAAATGAAAATCGATTTTTAAATGAATATTTCTAAGAGTGGTATTACACTATACAGTTTTTATGAAAGTTTTGTGTGCAATTTTATTGTACGCAAAACTTTCACAATTGGAATCTGTTTGGAATTGTATTATATAACTGTTCAATGTCATAGACATTTTCTTTTGAACACTGACCAAATATCATGATTTCTCTCATGTGATATACAATCAGAAATAACAGTGTATGTCTGATGTAAATGCCTAGGAACTAGTTATTTTTTCAGTTTATGACATGAATTGTTTTGATAATACATAAATTACTAATGCAGTTTCTTTAATGTCATACAGAACCAAATAAAGCAACAAAAATGGACTTTTAGTGATCAATAACTAATTTTTGGTCATCTTTAATGATTGTCATCAGATTAGTATTCTATATTAAATGTTTTAAAAATATATAATTGAAATAGAACAAATATGTAAAAGTTGAACAAGATTTAAATTATAAAGTTTAAAGAATATCACTTAAGATTTGTACAAAATAATCTAATATGCCACATAAATACATTGTGATACTTAATTGGGATCTCAAACCAGAAATGTTGTGCCTTTGATATAGTTTAGTAATTTTTGCTTCATCTCAATTGACCTTGATAAAGGGGTATGTGGCTAAGGTCCAATCATAATGTGGTAATCTTTAAAATTTTAATTTGACATATTTGTTCTATTTCCATTACATAATCTAAAAATGTTAAATATTAGAATGTTAACTTGAATTGCCATTAAAGATGAATGAAAATGTTAGTTTTTGTTTTATTAAGTACATTTTTAATGCATTATATGGTTTTGTATGATGTATTGCCTTTTAATGTTAAGCAAAGCTAAGACACCATTTACTATATCCCTCAATTTTTCATTAAATTATAACAGCCATGAGCTTTTTTGTTTAATTTCTATTTTTTGGTCTAAACACTTTGTTCATTCATAAGTTCATCTGCAGCCAGCATTAAAATGATTTCTTTCTCCATGTTTGCTTTTTTATGAATGGCCATGTTTGTTATTGTTACCTAATATCTTATTCACATTGGGTAGGAAAAATTGCATTGTATAATTAGTCTTAATTGAACCAATATTGCATCAGTTCCATGTTGCTTATGATAAAATTGTTCAAGGCTCCTACAATGTAATACTAGCAAAAATCATTTTTTCTTTTCCTCAGAAGAATTTTCATGTGGATGTTATAAATATTAAATTAGAACCATTTCTAGAACTAAGTATGTATAAAAGCTGTTGCCCTATTAGTAAATAATAGTGTTACTGCTAATGCATAACAGATTCTTAATGCTATAAGAAACTGAGAAGTCAGTGATGATAATAGCAACTCTACTAGTTACAATGCTGCTACAATATTAAGTAATTTAACTAGTATTAAATTTCAGAAATATAGATCATATACCATTTTCAAGTTGAACTAACAAACACTTTTAATGTTCTCTCATCAGTTAAAAACTTTAGTTATTTTAATATTTTTCGAACTCTGTACATAAGTTTACAGATAAAGTATTAGATTATTCTCCAGAAGTTTTTGTGAGATGATTTCATTCTGATAATGTAATGAATTCAGTTTTATTTTAAGAAATGCACATGTGCATTTTTAAAATAGAAAATGGCAATATACTAAGAATGATCTGGAAACCACATTTGGGCAAAAATTAAAATAAAATTTATGCATATTTGGTCTAACACACTTCTAAATTACATATCTATTTCAATTATTTATTACCAGAAAAATTAAAATATAAATATTTTTCAAGTAATAATTATGCATGAGTTACATAAAAAAAGATAGTTTTTCAAGATCATTAAAATATAAATCGTTAATTTATGAATTGTTTAAATTACAGAAAATAAAAGGTATGCGGCACAGTCGGCTGCAGCCACCAAAGCAAAAAATGGGAAGATAGTAGCTGTAATTGGTGCAGTTGTAGATGTTCAGTTTGAAGAAAATTTACCTCCAATTCTAAATGCCTTGGAGGTACAAGGTCGGAAGTCTCGACTCGTTTTGGAAGTCGCTCAGCATTTAGGTATTGTTTTTGATTTTATAAGATAGTTTCTAACTTACATTAATGTATGTTTTTATAGTATTGAAATTAATAATTTAAATATTTTTTAATTATAACCAAAATTTTATTTGTATAGAATATTTTAAAATACAGGTATCCTGTATTTTTAATAATTTTTAATCCTGTATTTTTGTAATTTAAAATACAGGTATCCTATACTTGGACACTGTAGTTATGTTCCAAAAAAGTGCCATGTTATGCAAATCTGTGCTATACAGAGCAAAAGACTAACACAAAACATGGGGTTAGGTTTTCTTTTTACAGAGTATTGTCATCATCTGAGCCTTTTTGTTGATCTTGATCGGAAATATCAGCAACATCGCACAGTTTTGGCTAATGGCAACAACAAGTTTTAATGGATGACAAAATAAAAATGTGTTATTAATTTAAAATTTGTTATAGAGGTTTGTGTTTGTTCATTCAAATTTAGATCAAATTATTATTTATTATTATTTTTTAGAATTTGTGTTGTAATATTGAATTCTTCGAGTACCAAGATACCACTGTATTTTATTTGTCATTTTTATGAATGATTACTTACCTACAGTTAAAAAAAAGTTTAATAACATTTACCTAAAAATGTTTAAATAAACTTTATTAAATGCAAAGATTAATCAATAAAAACAAAATGTAGTGACAATCTTAAGGGCTAAAGTCTCAAAGTAATGATGACGACAACACCTGGTTGATAGGAAAGCTTGGATGAAGAAGAAAAACATTGTACAATCAGTTTTCATTAAAGTAAACCCAATGAAAGGCACAGAACAAATAGAAAATTTCAATATTCTAAAATTTGTCAGAAAATTTGAGACAACACGTATGTTTACTTGAATAAAAAAAATATTGAATAGGAGGAAAAGTTAATGATCAAATGAAAAAGCCATATAGTTAATGTGACTTTTTCATTTGATTATTAACAATTTTTTTTTTATGATTTGTGCATGCCAGGTTTATAAATTATAGTTAAAATGCTTTTGTAAGTACTCTTGGGGGTCTGGACTGGATTAATCTAATTTACATCATTCTTTATGGAAAAAATTTGTTTACTTGAATAGACTTCTAGAATGAATTAAGTTCAAATACCAAGGTATTACTATATTGAATTTGTCAGGTATTTGATCAAACTATTGATCTTTTTCTTTAGAAACTATTTAGAAAATTAGAATAATGAAAAGAAATTAGTTCTTTTTATTGCAAAATGGATATGTTTGTGGAATGCTCAGTTCCAGGCATTTTTGGATTCCATTTATAGCAACCTTATGTGTAATTACTCAAGTTGGAGCAGGAGCGCCACAACAAGGTGCATTTTCTTGGATTTGTGCATCATCCCTAGAGAAGGCTGTATTATTTTTACCACCTGTTTGTTTAGAAAGCTGAATACTATATTCTGGAAATTTTGGTTTAATCTGCCTTCATATGATGTACCTTTTTTCACTGTAGCAACCTCATAGATTCCTAGGAAGTTGAAGTGCATTAAAAGAAATTACAAACAAGCAGTATACTCTACACTGCATTGATCAATTCATTAACAAATACAGGGCAAAGGACTAGACATAAATACAATCTATGTGCTGACCATATAAATGTGGTTAAATTAAAATGAATTTGTAGGCATACAAAGGACATTTGCTTTAGAAGGAACTTTCATTGAGTAGAGGCTGTTAATTTTTTCACTGGCAGGTGCTGGTAAAGTCTAGATAGGTTAATCATGTTGCAAGGGTTTATCAAGGTTATCAAGCAAGAGAAATTCTTGAGAGTCAATTCTACCAAAAACAGCAGATATGAAAAATTGTTTTGTGTCAGTGAGAGTTAAGAAATATAAGGATCAATGAAGACAGTTCCTGGATTTCAGAATCTGCACAGTGCCACTCCTAATTATGTTTTGAGATGATTTTAAAATAGATGTTATGTTGCACTCACAAGATTAAAGTGACATGAGTGGATGAAAAAAGCATTCTTAAGACTGCTGTGACAACTTACACTTCTATCAAAGTTTTAATTTTACAAGTGTCTAAATTGCTTTGTTTGATGTGACCTTTCAGAAATTAAATGCTTGAAATTTTGAAGCTTGGAGCAGTTTGAAATTCACTATTCTAAAATGGTTGAAAGCATCAATGTTAAGAAAACAGACAGCATTTGCACTGCGTGGAAAACTCTATACAAGCTATCCTGATTGGAATGGGCTGTGTGAAGGTACACAATACTATGTAATATTTATTATTTATAGTGGATGATGTACTTATTTTGCTCCTTTTTATAATATGTTACATCAGTGTTTTTGAATTTAAATTGGTTTTTTTAAATCTAACATTCTTTACTTCTAAGTATTAATAAGAATTTGAAAAAATATATTTTAAATATTGTTTTTCAAAATTGTGTAAGCTGTACTTCTATTTGCGTTGTTTTTGCTGTAACGTAAGGAAGACCTTTTAATCAAACATTTGCAATAAAGAAATGTGATCAAATTTATGGCATTTGATTTGAAACTAGTTTTTCCCATGTGTTCATTTTGGATGGAATGCCAATCAGTAGACATTGATTTTTGATTTTAAATAACATGTATTTTGTACTTTGTAAGAAATAATTTTTAATTTAACAATTTAAGAAGGAAAAAAAAACTTAAATGCATTTATTATGGATTGATTTTAGAAAAAACTTTTGAATATTGCTTAAGTCTTCTAAATTAGATTGTATTTTTTCATTATCCAAACCAAAGTCATTTCACTTAGCAAAATCTAAGGTTTAATTTTAATTATCCAGTGGAACCACATTGTATTGTTCCTGTTACCTTCATTTTCTTATATATATTGCCTGATTTAGTCTCAGAACTAGTTCTATCAATATATGAATAACACTAATTTTTCTTACTTTGTTAGTTCTTTTACAATTGTTCCTTGTTGATTATTAAAATGTCAATGCTAATTGGCAACATCTCTGGAGATTATGTCACCGACTATATGGTAATTCATGGATCTCTTTGTACCAGCCCATCAGAATACATCAGAACTTAATGTTTTTTGTATGCATTAATGTTACGTGTAAATTGTAATTTTTGTAATTTTTGTATTGAATGTAATTACAATAACAGCAAAATTTAAAATAAATTGTAGGTGTGATTTTTTTTTTTTTTGTATGGACTAATACATGAATGCACAGATCAAAGTGTAGTTTTATCATTTCTTTTAGATTTAAGCTCTATAGGCTTGAGAAATTAGTTAAGTTTTACCTGCAATTTTTACATTTGAATTATAATTCTAAGTGAAGGAAAGTAAGTAGAATTCCTTTAAAGTATTATTCAAGAAGTAATAAGTAAATTATTTTCTTATTTAGGTTTATTAATTTTGAGAAATTTTGACTGGTATATTCAATATTATAATGTTTTATTGTAACAATATTCTGAAAAATACTTGTAATATTTTAGAAAAATTTCTTTGGTCGCTTTTAAATAGACTGATTTGAATTTTTGAATACCACGCTTTTTCAAATCTGACTCAAACCAGACTTTTGCCATACTACTTTTTTACTGCAAATTTCCTCAGGACTGTTTCAATTCCTCCCAAACTTTGTTTATGCAATTGGACATATTTTGCATTCCTATTTTTTCCATAAAGTTAATTAAAAACTATTACAACATAGAGCCAAGACAGTTTTCATAATTCTTTTTAAATTACAGGTGAGAATACAGTAAGAACCATTGCTATGGATGGAACAGAAGGTTTAGTGCGAGGTCAGGAAGTAGTAGACACAAACTCGCCTATAAAAATACCCGTAGGTCCTGAGACATTAGGTCGAATCATTAATGTGATTGGTGAACCTATTGATGAGAGAGGTCCAGTTGTTACAGATAAATATTCTGGCATTCATCAGGAAGCCCCCGAATTTGTAGAAATGAGTGTTGAACAAGAAATTTTGGTAACAGGGATTAAAGTTGTAGATTTACTAGCACCTTATTCCAAAGGTGGAAAAATTGGTAACTATCTCTAATCAATTTTTTTCTGAATAAAAGATACATGCAACCGAGTTAAACATTATCTTACATTTAAATTACAGGACTTTTTGGAGGTGCTGGTGTAGGTAAAACTGTACTTATCATGGAACTGATTAACAATGTAGCTAAGGCTCATGGAGGTTATTCTGTATTTGCTGGTGTGGGTGAAAGAACAAGAGAAGGTAATGACTTATATCATGAAATGATTGAGTCTGGAGTTATTAGTTTGAAAGACAAAACTTCAAAGGTAACTTTTTGAATTTGATATTTGTTATAAACGATCTTTTAGTTAATCTAAATCAACTTAAAAATTAATTACAAAAATGTTTTTAAAAAGTTCTCATAATTGTTATCCAGCATTGCAGTCATAGCTTTAATAATAGGGACAATAAGGCTGTATGTAATATTGGGCAATATACAGAAGTGCTTATAACAGTGTAACAGTAAAAATTTTTTTTTTCATGTTCCTTTTACAAATTTGATGTGCTAACTTCAATGGTGGTTGGTTTTTTGTATCAAACTTGTAGTTATTTTATTTTTTTGGTTTTTATTAATTTCCTAAAGAGTGCCTTTATTTTGGAGAAAACATGGTCATTCAGTTGTGTAATCTATCTCCAGACTTCTGTTATGTTTGTGAATAGTATATTGACCCTAAACAGATCAAAGCACAAAACTACCGCAATGACTAATTTTTTTCATCTCATATCAAGCTTGCTTAAATAATGTCTATGGGAAACCTGACAAATTGTGGGCATTGGATTTTTCCTATGGTGATTGCAGGCCATTTGGGAAGGTTGGCTTTGGGGAAACAAGGAGATCAATGTTCTTTGCCATTCCTAAAAATTTGGAGGAAACCAAAGTCATTATGATGATTGGTTTTGTATGGTGGATATTTGAATACAAGAAGTGAACATACTGAAATGCCATTATATATCACACAATACTGTTATCTATTGACTAGTTCCATAATTGAGCACTGAGCTTTATTCCACAACCATTAAAAAGTATGACTAGAGTAGAGGAAGATATCCAATCCAGTGGTAAGTGTGATGAGGAAAAAGATGGACTTCCAAGGAGCAACATATAGCAAGCAGCCATGTTTTCAAAATCGACAAGAAATAGATGATTTAATGAGATTTGAGACTAAAGACAAGCAGCTTGTTGAGAATTTAGTAGTCTGATCTGAAAAAGTGGGTGCTGTAAGACTGAAACTATATTACTTACGTTCATGTTTTGATTTTTTTTTCAAATAAAATTTGGAAGCAATGAGTGAAGAACATTGAGGTTTCACCAAGAAATTGTATAAATATATAAGAAAGATATCAAGGAAGATGAAATGAAACCGTAAAGGGAGACTACATCTGAAATTGATGTGCGATGATAGTAGTACTCATAAGAGGCAATATTAACTTTTAGGATATATTAATATTTGTTTTTAAGTATTGTCAGTTAATGCTGTGCAAATATTATATTTGTATTGTTACATTCCCTATCATTTTGTCTAATGCTTTGTAATAATTAATTGTACATTGCACAAATATTTAGATTTTGAAGTATTGTAGATGGTGGCTAAAATATTGGTGCTATGCAAGAAATAACATCATTTTGACATGCTCACATCAAAATTGTTAAAGAAACATTAGAAGATTTAATTTATCTAAATATTTGAAACTCTCTGCTACCATGATGACAATAAAAATTTCATATATTTTTGTATATGGTTTTCTTTAATTATATTGTGATAACATTTGACAAGCTTTTATAAAACATGTAAATTTAAAATGTACATTAAGAAAATCTATGGTTAAGTATAAAACATCTTTCACAGGTATCTCTTGTTTATGGACAAATGAATGAACCACCTGGTGCCCGTGCTCGTGTAGCACTTACAGGATTGACAGTTGCAGAATACTTCAGAGATCAAGAGGGTCAAGATGTATTGCTGTTTATTGACAATATTTTCCGTTTCACACAAGCTGGTTCTGAAGTAAGTTAATCAGTCTGTTTTTAATATATAAAATACTTTATTCATTTTTTTAAATTTAATTATCATTACTATGAGTCTAAGGATGCATATAAAAACTACAGGTATCAGCTTTGTTAGGACGTATTCCTTCTGCTGTAGGTTATCAACCTACTTTAGCAACTGATATGGGTACCATGCAGGAAAGGATTACAACAACTAGAAAAGGTTCTATTACATCCGTGCAGGTAGGAATTTTTCTTATGCAGGAACACTAAAAAACATTGTTGTCAATGCAAATATTAATGCAGTTTTGGTGGTGTGTTGTAGCTTCATGAGATGCAGGCAAATTTGAATTAGGAGGCACAATGTTGAGTGTTTAGCTTTTTTGCTTACTAATTATCTCTAGAAAATCATGCACTAACTTGAATTTAATGCTGAAAATTTAATAAGAAACATATTTAATTATATTCATAATATTACTGTTGTCTTAATCAAATTTGTCATATTACTAAAATGAATGTATTAGACTAAATCATTTCAGAAATAATTTGCCACATATTATCTATATAAATGGGCCAACTTTACCAAAACATATTTTAGCTACAGCACAAAACTGATTTAAAGAAACTGAACAATAATTATCTGTAATTTTTTTGTCATTATTTCCATGATTTTCATTTGTGTTTTTTGGAGTTATGGTATTTGGAGTAAGAGGATGGATGGTGTTTTGTGGGTGGAAAAATTAAGGCAACATTGAGTGATAACTGCTATCATCAACTGCTTCTGTTGATTTTGACACTTAAAATAGTTGATTGATTGGTTTGAACCTGTTGTTCAATGTCACCTTTAATTTTACCATCTGTGTGCATTCGCCTGAAATTACTTTATTGCAAATAGTTAATGACATTTTCAATGTTTTTTTTTTGTAACTGATTTCTGTATTTAGGCAATATTTAATAAGTTTAAAATTATTTAGGCTATTTATGTACCAGCCGACGACTTGACTGATCCTGCACCAGCCACGACATTTGCCCATTTAGACGCAACCACGGTATTATCTCGTGGTATTGCTGAGTTGGGTATCTATCCAGCCGTAGATCCTTTGGATTCCACATCACGTATTATGGATCCTAACGTTGTGGGTAGAGAACATTATGACATTGCTCGTGGTGTGCAGAAGATTTTGCAGGTATGAATATATATATATCACTTATTGGAGTAAAAATGTTTTATTGACAGATGGTTAAAAAAAAAATTCAATTTGTTTTTTAGGATTATAAATCTTTGCAAGATATCATTGCTATCTTGGGTATGGATGAATTGTCTGAAGAAGACAAACTTACAGTATCTAGAGCTCGTAAAATCCAGAAATTTTTGTCACAGCCATTCCAGGTTGCAGAAGTTTTCACAGGGCAAGCTGGCAAATTTGTTCCTTTAGCCGACACAATTAAAGGTTTTCAAATGATTTTAAATGGTAAAGCCTCATTCTTTTTAAAATATAGTTAGTTCTCATTTTTTTCAAGTTAATTAATTATTATTCTCGTTTTCCCAGGTGAGTTGGATCATCTACCCGAAGTTGCTTTTTACATGGTCGGACCCGTCGAAGAAGTGGTTGCCAAATCGGAAAAACTTGCAGAAGAATTATAATTTATGCAATCATTTCCAGTTAGTTTAATAAAAATGATCATTTTTTGTTTTTGTTAAGGAAAAGTAGCGGTGCCGATTTAAGCAAATCATTGAACAATCTTGTAAATTTTGTCGTTTGTAGTAAGGACCATAGCTGCATCTTATGTCAGAGTTCTGGGTATGGGATCAAAAAGTTATATAAGTGACCCATGGAAATAAGATTGAACTGTTGTTTTCAGTATGAAACCAGTTGAAGCTGGAAATGTAGGAACGATTGTTAATAAAGTATTCTTAAGGAAAACTTGTCCTGCCTTTTTTTTCCTTAAATTGTTGTATTATTTGGATAAACGTGTGCTAATATGGCATGATATTAAATTGTTCATGAAGTTAAATTACTCATTTCAACCTTATTAATTATAAAGCCATGAATTTAATGCTTTATTCAGTTACCTGGATGAAATTTTTTAGTTTTTGAACCATGTCCTCTAGATATGGAAATCGTGGAAGATCATTTGAAATCCCTTATTTAATTATAATAAAAATTACAGTAATCAGATGCTATGCCCGATACACTTAAAATGTAACATTTTCAGCTTTAAAGTGCAGAATTTTATATAAAACGCTATTTTGGAACATTTTAGTATTTCAACACGCACGACTAAAAACTGATGAAAATTTGTTCCGTTATGAATTATAAAAATGCCAATCGCACGCGTCACTCGTTAATCGCCTACCGTGATGTACTACTAAATAATAATAAAATTGGAAGCTATAGACGTAGAAAATTCGATAAATAAGGTTTTTTTTTTCTCTCTCAAATACGCCGGTCGGGTGGTTTAAAAAAAAAAATTTTAATCAAGTGGCGATAGGGGCGACACCAAACGCCTAAACTCGTAATACATCTCAATAACAAGATGGAGGTAGATTGAATGGTCATTAGTATTATTTATGAAAACAACAAGTTATAAAATAGCGAAAGAGGTAAGTTTTTAGTAAGATACGTTTAAAAACGCGACAGATTTTCGTATTAATACCATTTCGGATAAATATAAACCGCCAGGGAGGCATTCCACGCCATTTTTTGTTACTACGTTACGTCCAAACGATCAGCTGTTTTGAAACAGACGAATCTCTTCGGAAAATTATTGCATAAACCCGTCTTATTTACGTTTTTTACGCATTTTATAAGCCTAAGTACGAATATAAACCATAAAAAACTCCAATTTATTGCATATACGAGTTACATAAGCCATAAATTGGAGTTTTGGTTTTGGTTTATTTGGAAAAAGTTGAAACGAGTCCAAATATGCTTTTTGTTTGTATTCTCGCTGTTTACGTCGCTTCCCGCGAGATGATGAAGCTTATGAAAGTGATCAGAATCTCGTTTACAGAGAAATTGACATTTTATTATTTATTTACCTGATTTTGGGTTAATTAATGGTAATTTATATATATGAAATTAATGTATTAATTTGATGTAATAATTTTATTAAGAAGTTTTTTTATGCAAATTACATAGACTTGTGTTTAAAATTTTTGTTTTATTTTTAATAAAATGATATGACCGGGATTTTTGTAGACTGTTTTATTCCCGAGATGCTGAAGAAGGACGAGATAAGAAGGCTTTTTTATTTTTATTCCGTATAAAATATAGCTTTTATATATTTATCTAAGAAAGAATTGTTTGTAGTTGGTGGACAAATGATGTTGCTAAAACTTAATACATTACAAAAATATGAGTCAACTGATGCTGTATGTTTCCGGCTTGATAACAGCTGTAATACTAATAAATTATGAAACAATTTGGTACTGGAGGGAGGGGTTAGGTGCCATCTCTTAATAAATTTAATAATTATATTAAATTGTTGTTTATAGTAAGGACTGAGTAGCGGAGTGTTCTGTGCTGTGCCTGCACTATGCTGGAAACCTAGGGTTTCTGGATGTGGTGCAAAATTTTAATTTTGATCTTAATACGGTGACGAGTTTATAAAAGATTTATTCAAGCCGCTGTTGTTGGGGGTGCCAGGCACTTACCCTTTTTGCCTGTAGGATTATTCACTCTTGTTTTAATAATATATTTTCCACTTAAAAATTCTAAATAACTTGGTTATATACGGAATATATAAAGGGTGCCCTCGAATAACTTTCATTATATAATGTAAACGTGCAAACCTACGTCGACTTTATTATAGATGTGGTTTTCACGGGAGATCTTCACATGTTATGCTTGTCACCGCATTAAATTTCCGCTACAGTTTGGCATTAACAGACTTCTAATCTTGTGGAGAGAGTAATATACCGGTGACTGCAGAAGTTATTCTAGGATACCCTGTATATATACAGTTAAACCTCTAATCTCAAATTCTCCTTAAGTTGAACTGGATTGTTTGTTCCTGTAAACATCATATATAATATAATGCATTTTCTACTCCTTTGGAAGTTTATTATTAAGTTCCACAAATCCTTTTGTCGCATTTCTTGATGGAGTAGCTTTGATACAGCCAGACAAGCAAGCCAATGACATCAAAGTTGTCAATTTAGCAGAAAATTTGCTGTCTAGTCTTCCTTTAGCATTGTTGAGTGACTTAAAAGTTATGTTGTCTGCCTGGTATTTTTTTGTCACAATGGGCTAAAGTTTATTTTAGTGTTTTATTTTATAATTTCCATTGAGGAATACTGATATTCTCATAATTAAAATTTTTATTTTGAGTGGTGTTCTTTGTTCGTGGCAGCCATCTTGAATTTTGTCTTCATCACTTTATGAATGTGCAAAATCTTTACATTAACATAGATATATTTGCTAACCATCTAAATTTTCATGTAAATAATTTATGTAATATATTATGCAACATTTGATTTTTGAATAAATTCAGTATAGTGTAGAGAGGTAATTTTGTGATATATCTAAATTTATTATTATAGTTCTAATAATTATTCAAATAAATATCATAGATTTAAAGATATTAAAAAAATTGCCACCCTTTCTCTACCACTTTGTACTTTGTGTCTGAAATAACATGACTTCCTGTTTGCATTGGAAGTTCGTATATAGTTAATTGGGCCTCCTGCCCCTAACGTTTTCCATATCTGGTCTCAACTTTCATTTATCTAACTCCATTCCCTTGATTAAGGAAAGACACATGGATAGACAACAGTGGGAATTTATAGGTCTACAATTTTTTCAAGTTGCAACCCAATAAGTAAAACGAATTGTCTTCAGTGTTAAAGATGACTTAAAGACTCACTTTTTCTTTTACACAAGAGTTTATTTACCAGAAAAAAATATAAGCATGTCTTTTAAGCTATCTTTAACACTGAAGAAAGTTTATTTTACTTATTAATATTTTTTTATTTAATTTTTTAAAATTTGATAAATGTAAATTGATAATGATGATAAAGGAATAATACAATAGATATAATATTTGTGAAATAAACAGATAATATAAACATATTAGAAAAACTTTATGAAAAAAACTCTTTCACAAAATTAACCATATTTATGATAATTTATAATCATGAATTTTTTCTGGAATTATGTGTTATATAAATCTATGAATATAGGTACTATACATTAATAGATTAAATGGAATATATTTTAACTGTAGCATGAATATGGGATATTGAAAATATGTGTAACGAAGAATCATATCCTTTACCATGAAAAGTTTTTAAATCTCATTTATCTTAATTAAGGATGATGGTAATGAGCAGTGAAGCCTGCTTGCTAAATGGATGCTGTTAAGGACTTATTATCCATTAGCCTGAATAAAAAATATTAGATATAAAATTAATTATTTTAAAGTGCAAAGTTCATGCTATTACCAGATAAGTTTGTATGTAAAGAAATTATAATACTTAATTATATATAAAATGATGATATGCTATTTATCAAGGTATGTTATTAATGTTTAAATAGGTAAATATCTACTGAACATATTACTTCTCATAGAATAAATTCTGTGTAAAAGAACTGGTGTTGCATGTTTTTCATAAACAGATTTAAAAGCTGTATGATTTGAAAATCCAGTAGAAACATATTATACACTTCTATCACTTATTAGAATTAATTAATAGTAAAATTATTTAAAATAGGAAAAATCAATATACACTGTTCAAAATATTCTTGTGATTCAGCACAGTTAAGTTCTTTGGCTGTTAATTGTAATGTGTATACATGACACATCATTTGGATGATACCGCATTTTCAACTGTAGAGGGTTAGAGAATTTGTTGCAATGAACACCTTGAAGAACAGTTTAAATCTAAAATTATTTTCTTGATATATTGGCTTTGGAGAAGATCCACATGGATGCTGACAATTTCACACAATTTTCTTTAATAAACTTTTATTTGTTATTTACAGTGAGATTTGTAATTACAAATTAAGACTTTTAAATGTAGAATTGTTGAAATAAAGCTAAATTAAATGTAAAGATTGTCTCTTTTTGTTTGTTTGAATCATTTCTAAGTATTAATTCTTCCTTATTCCCAGTTTATACTTTTTTTCATCATCTCATATTTCTTAAAGATCTATCAAAAATTAATTATTGTTTGGAATATTTGGAAATTGTATTGGAATATTGACTTTGTTATTTGCTCCTAATTTTAGCATATCCAAACTATTTTCATTGTATCCATATTAAATGTTATGTATGTACAGTAGACCCCCTATAACATGGATTCCTATAATTATGATTCCTATAAAACGGCGAAAAAATTGTGATGGTATCCATACAAACCTGGTAAAAAAACTCCTATAATTCGGTAAAACGTCATCGGGCAGCCAAACTACTTTCTGCCGTTCAGCGCCACGCTACGGAGAATTTAGGCGTGTAAATTGAGTTTACTATCATCTGTACAGTATTATATATAAATTAGGTACTGTACATATAATTATATATTAATTATATATAAATTAAGAACTGTATATATAATTATATATTAACTTAATTTATTGTAATTTTATTATAATTATATATATACTTTCCGCCGTCCAGCGCCACGCTACAGAGAGTTTAGACGAGTAAGTTGTTTACTATCGTCTGTACAGTATGTAAATTAGGTGCCGTAAGTCTAATAAAGTACTGTATTTTATACATTTCTTGTGGAAGAAACATTTCTTATTCAATGGCCATAAAAATTATTTATATTAATGATGTCTCCAAAGTTCAAAGTAAGTTTTCGCAGAAAAATAACTTATCAGAAATCGCAGCCGCGGTTTGGTGTGCTGCTCTACGACGAAAACAAGCTTGAGCAATGGCGACGTCGAACGGTGCACACTCTGTAAGTAATCCTACAATTTTTTGTTTATAGTGTAGTTTATAAGGATTATTCCCAAAAAAAATATATGTATTTTGGAAATGTTGAGTCAAATTAGTCTAGAATCGATTAATTTTATGGAAGAAAATCTTTCAAACAGCTGTAGTCCGTAAACTTCACACGTGTCGGGCTGTGATTGGCAAGGACTCGTAAGAAATCAATTCATAACGAACAGAACGTATCTACCTTGTTTTAGGGGGGTCGACTGTATTGAAACTTAAAGCAGAGCAAATAAGTGAATACAGTTGACCCCCCATAACACTGTTGATGATTCCGTTTTATATGAATTCCATGTCGTATGAGTCACTTAGATTTTACAAATACGTGAGCCGTTCACGGCCCGGCACACGTATTTGTAAAATCTAAATGACTCGTACAACATGAAATTCATATAAAATGGAATTATCAACAGTGTTATAGGGGGGGTCAACTGTATCATTATGAAAACAACACAGACAAAAATCAAAAATCCAGCAAAATAAATACTATTTCTTGATGAAAACAAACATTTTTGATTATTTTCAGGAGTCGTCATCAAGTTGGAACAGAATTATTTTAGAACAGGAATTTGAAAATAAATTTTAAAAGGTTGGAAAATGTTTTTGGATGTAGTAGTAACCTTCATTGCTGCTGTTTATAAATTAAATTATTTCAAGTGACTT